CCATTTAAAGAACTCCGTTGTGCTTCGATCTGTAGGTCCAATTTATACTTTACGATTCGGAAACCCTGACAAAATTACTGAAAGGGGAGGAGAGATATGACAATGAGAGAGGAGGGACAGAATGATCCGGATTAGAAAGATGGGGACTGGACTAACCAGATTGCAATGCTTTAGAAGCACGGCAGATCCCAAATGGTGCCTAATCTCACCTTCTAAATTATGTGACCTTGCTTTGGAATGGAGAACTCCACATTAAATGCATCTCTTTGTGAACCTCTTAATTAATGGAAGCCCACACAGCAGCACTAATAGTTCAGGTATCTAATAGTTTTTTGTTTTTTTTCTAACTGCTAGGACACAGTCTAGATGAATATTCTTGTACTTGGGTAGAACATTGGCTTAAGGATAGAGTACAACGAGTTGTCATCAAGGGTTCTGTTTTAGGGACCACTTCTATTTAACATATTTATAAATGATCTTGAAATAGGCATTGAAAGCCATGTATCAGTGTTTGCAGATGATACAAACTTTGTAAAGTAATAAAATGTGAGCAGGATATTTCTTTGCTGCAGAGGGATTTGGATAGATTGGGGGACTGGGCACTAAAATGGCAGATGAAATTTAACATAGAGAAATGCAGAGTTATGCACTTCGGGGTTAAGAATGCACAAGCAATTTACACTCTAAATGGTAGTGAAATAGGGATAACCATACACGAGAAGGATTTGGGAATTGTTATAGACAGCAAATTAGGCAGCAATATGCAATGTCAATCTGCAGTTGCTAAGGCCAGTAAGGTTTTGTCATGTATAAATAAATTCTCAGGATGAAAATATAATTTTGCCTCTTTATAAATCGCTGATAAGACCGCACCTTGAATATGCTGTGCAATTTTGGGCACCTGTTCTAAAGAAAGATATCATGGCACTAGAAAAAGTGCAGAGATGAGCTACAAAATTGATAAAAGAAATGGAGCATTTTAGTTACGAAGAAAGGTTAAAAAATTTAAATCTCTTTCGTTTGGAAAAACGGCACCTGAGAGGGGATATGATAACATTATACAAATATATTCGGGGCCAGTACAAACCTTTATCTGGAAATCTATTCATAAACAGGGCTATACATAGGACACAATGTCACACATTTAGGTTGGAAGAAAGGAGATTTCATCTAAGGCAAAGAAAATGTTTTTTTTTACAGTAAGAGCAATAAGGATATGGAATTCTCTGCCTGAAGAGGTGGTTTTGTCAGAGTCCATACAGATGTTTAACCCCTTAAGGACACATGACATGTGTGACATGTCATGATTCACTTTTATTCCAGAAGTTTGGTCTTTAAGGGGTTAAACTGCAATTGGATAAATACTTGCAAATACATAACATACAGGGATATAATTTCTAATTAGTGGGTTAGTAGCTGCTTGATCCAAGAAGACATCTGACTACTATTTTGGGGTCAAGAAGGAATTTTTTCCTAGTTTGTTGCAAAATTGGAAGCACTTCAAAATAGGTTTGTTGCCTTCTTTTGGATCAACAGCAAAAACATATGCGAGGAAGGCTGAACTTGATGAACGCAAGTCTCTTTTCAGCTATGTAACTATGTAACATATCAGGTAGCGACACTCAAACATGTGTTAGTCTTTATTTAAAGGCCATGTCTGAACGATGGCCTAACTCAAGCATGTCAAACTCAAAGGCTAGCATGGGCCAAATAAACAAGGTTTAAGTTTATGTGGGCCGCAAAAAAAACAAACTGAAATTTTCATAGAAACTTAGGTCTATTTTGTAAAAGTACAGTATAAAAAAAAAACAGCATCCCCCTCTTCTAAACCCCAGCATCCTCCTCTACTAAACCCCAGCCCCCCCCTATACTAAACCCCAGCCCCCCCTCTATACTAAAACCCAGTCCCTCCCCTCTACTAAATCCCAGCACCCCCCAGCCTCTGGTATACCCCCATTGGCGCTGTCCACACCCTGTGCCAAATCTGATCCTCCCGCTACTCCTTGAAACCTTGTGAAAGTGGAGCACGTTGACATCACATCTGAATGTTACGTGGCGTTGAGTGCCTCCTTGAACCTCCAGGTCCTCCACCATCCAGCCGTGGCCATCGCAACACTGACCAACACAAACTCACTGACAGACACACATACTGACAGACAGACACACACTCACTGACAGAGACACACACTAACAGACACAGACACAAACACACACTCACTGACGGACACACAACACACTCTCAGACACACACACACTGACAGACACACACACAAACTCACTGACAGACACACACACACTCACTGACAGACACACACACACTGACAGACACACACATTTACACATTCTTGCACACACTCAGAAATCATTTATTTGGGAACTGGTGTGGGGCCTCTCCCTGGCATCTCCCTTCCTGCTCCTCACTGCTTCCTCAAACGAGCTATTGAGTGTTGCCGGGCCGGAATGACGTCATATTCTGGCACCCAGCATCACTACAGAGGGCGCGCAGCAACGCTCCGAATCTCGCAAGAGTGAACTCTAGCAGCTCCTGTCCCCCGCCCAGGCAAAGGTAAGCAGGGAGGGGGGATATGAAAATAATTATTTTTAGTAAAAATAAAAAAAATTATATATTCATGAATTTGCCCTCCCACCCCCACAGACCCCACACCACACAATAAACCCCACACATACACACTGCTCCCCACACACACACACACTGGCCCTGCAGACACAAACACACTACCCCCATACACACACACTGCCCCTATACTCACAATTACCCCCCCATATACACAATTGCCGACCATACACACAATTGCCCCATACACACACACTGCCCCTCCATACACACAAACTGTACCCCTTCCACACTGCCGCCCACAGAACCTGCCCCCCACACACTGTACCTTATAGAAACTGCCCCCCCACACACACTGCACCCCCCAAACTGTACCCCTAACGCACAAGCTGCCCCACATACACACAAACACTGCCCCCCTCGTACACACACACATTGCACCCCCACACACACACGCACACTTCACTCCCGCCGTCAGGGCCGTCTTTATTATAGATTGGACCCTAAGCAAGCATTTGCTTGGGCCCCCTAGCCCCCTTTGCCCATTAATAACTATCACTGTCAGTGTGTCTGAGAGCAAGTCTGACAGTGAGTATCCCTCTTTTTAGTACAATATAAAATTTAAAAAATTAAAATAAAAAATATTAAAACACATGCTTATCTTCATACTAGCTGTATAGACAGGTTTTCTGCAAATACAGACAGATTTCTCCTTTACCAGGAAGAGACTCCACCTATCAGGATCCTCTCAATCTGGTCAGTGGAGCCTAGTATAATCTTGAGAGCATGTCTGTGACTGCCACTCAGTTCTCCCTTGGGAGTAGAGGAAGATCCCTCCCACTTGTGCCTGTAGCACACAAATGCTGCATTTACAACTTAGACAAAATTGTAACGGAGGAAGTAAAATTTTATAAAAGCTATAGCTACAGCTGTTTTAACAAGTGCTGCAAGTGTAAGTCACTCTCAGCATTAAGTTGTTATAATGCTTAGACTGACCCTTTAAAGTTTTATTTTAGAATCAATGCCAGTATTTTGAACTCGGTTTAGAAAATAATAACAAAAAAGATGCAGTGACTGGCCGGCCAGCCAGCAGCCTCATGTACCCCAGCACTCCCAATGGTAGGGGATGGGGGGATTGAATTAAAAAACAATTTAAAAAAAATTTGAGTGTGTTTGTGTGTGTGTGTGTGTGTCTGTTAGTGCATGTCTGTTAATGTGTGTCTCTTAGGGAGTGTGTTACTATGTGTGTGTGTGTGTGTCTGTTAGTGAGTTTGTATGCATGCATGTCTGTTAGTGAGAGTTTATGCATATCTGTTAGTGAGTGTGTGTCTGTTAGTGACTGTGTGTGTCTGTAACTGAGTGTGTATGTCTGTTAGTGAGTGTGTGTCTGTTAGTGAGAGTGTGTGTGTGTCTGTTAGTGTGTGTGTGTGTGTGTCTGTTAGTTAGTGTGTTACTATGTGTGTGTCTGTTAGTGTGTGTGTGTGTGTGTGTGTCTGTTAGTGAGTGTGTTAGTATGTGTGTGTCTTCTGGTGAGTGTGTTAGTGTGTGTGTCTTCTGATGAGTGTGTTAGTGTGTGTGTGTGTGTGCGTGTGTGTCTGTTAGTGAGTGTGTATGCATGTCTGTTAGTGAGTGTGTATGCATGTCTGTTAGTGAGTGTGTGTGTCTGTTAGTGACTGTATGTGTCTGTTAGTGAGTGTGTATGTGTGTCTGTCAGTGAGTGTGTGTCTGTTTGCTAGTGTATATGTGTCTGTCAGTGAGTGTGTATGTGTATTTAGAAGGCAGAGGGGAATGAGGTGCCTGAGTTTTGTCATGCCTAGGGCAGCACAAAACCAGGATACACCACTGGTCCTGGCATTCATGTGGATGTTACTTTGACACTTACCACCTACCTAGAAATTGTTGCAGACCACCTACACCCCTTAATGCCAATGTTGTTCCCTGATGGAAGTGGTCTCTTTTAGCAGAGTAATGCACCCCGCCACAATGCAAAAAGTGTTCAGAAATGGTTTGAGGAACAAGACAAAGAGTTCAAGGTTTTGCCTTGGCCTCCAAAACGCCAAATCTCAGTCCAATTGAGCATCTGTGGGATGTGCTGGAACAACAAATCCAATCCAATCCATGGAGGCTACACCTCATAACTTAAAAGATATGCTTTTAATGTCTTGGTGCCAGATACCATGGGACACATTCCGAGGTCTTGTGGAATCCATTCCTCAACACATCAGTGCTGTTTTGGCAGCATTAAGGGGACCTACACAATTTAGGCAGGTTGTTTTAATGTTCTGGCTGATCAATATATATATAATTAATCATTAGCATGTCTTGTTCTTTGTCTTCGAAAAGGGAGCAGTAGCTGGTGCTGTGGTGCTAGAGTGCAGAAATATGTATATGATATACTAGTCCACATTACCAGCGCTAAAGATTGCTCAATTAGACTGCACGTGGAGAATGCTCTATATATAGATATATAGATATATATAGCCCATTCTCCACATGCAGTCTAATTGAGCAATCCTTGAAGCTGGTAATGTGGACTAGTATATCATATACATATTTCTACACTCTAACAACCAACTACTTCTCAAACTTAAAGACAAAGAATTAGAGAAGCTAATGATTAATTGTGCAGCTGTATGTTACTCATAATCCAGACACTCATTTTCAAATAAAAATATGTGATAGGAATCTCATGCATAACCAACTCCGCAGTGACCACATTTCATCCTTTGGAGAGAAAACCATTTGTGTAATTAAATAGAAGAGCTTCAACATAATGCTTTTCATTCACTAGAATGTGAGTTATTGGAGAATAGTGCATTCATGAGACAATATCAAGCTTGATACAGACCTATTTATAGGTCAAAACATTGCTTTGCTTTCCTGATCCAATAAATCTGCCTATGGCTTTAATTCCGTGAGTACTTTAAGATTTTTTCTTGTTTTATCATATAGGGTTCAGACTATTGACTCCTGAGGCCTCAGGTCACCCTCTGGCATTTGGCTCAGATTATTGGTCTGTTGGCATCCTCGATTGAGGCCACTTTTCCAGGTCCCCTGTACTTCAATGCCTAAAGGTTGTGCATCTGTGTGACGGTGCTTCTCATGCAGACATGGTGGTTCTTGATTGTAAAACGAATAACAAACTTCATTGGTGGATCCTCAACATGGGCGTCTGGATTGGACAGGCCATATTCGTAACTCATCTGGGGTTTATTATAGATTCAGATTCAAGTCTTCATGGTTGGGGTGCACATTGCGAAGGTCTTTCTACCAGAGGATGTTGGACACTGGATGAGATACACCTCCAAATCAAACTATCGCCTCCAAGTCAACTATCTGGAACTGTTGGCGGGCTTCTTTGTGGTGCTGAGTTTTTCCAGATATTGGGCCAACACATGCATTTTTCTTCGCACAAATGCATGTGTTGGCCCAATATCTGGGAAAACTCCAGCAGTCCGCTATTTCTTGGGGTAACTCATTCAGTGGTCCTGGCCATTCATTTCTGGAATTTGTGTTTGGAATGGAACATCTTCTAAATGTTTTTGCTTCAGTCGTTGCTCAGCTTTAAACTTGCAATATGAGCCTCTTGTAACTATTTCATGACGGAAAGTTATAATTTTCTAAAAGATATAAAGGGGAGTATTGTATCTCCCAGAGATGCATTCACTTTTGGCATTATTCTTCCAGCCCTTTGTTTTTTCTTTGCATGTGTTTTATTCACATGTTTCTTTATAAGTGTGGTGAGCACACTTGTGGTGTGGGATGGTTACATTTGTATGGCTTTGTTGTATTGTTTAATTTGTATGATGGTTTAAATGTGCTTGGTATGCTGTTATTGTCTTTATGATTGCACTTTTTTGGTCATCTTATACCATGTAGCTAGCTTTCTTTGAATTTTCTTTGTTTAGGCACTAATCATTGAGCTCCTGTGTGTTCTTTTGTCTTTACAGTATGATTTGGCAGAAACTATGTTTGGAGTGGAGTTTCTGCCCACTGTTTTCCTTTGGACTCTCCGGCGGTTCTTTGCAGTTGATGGAGATTGTGCTACCGGTCCCCAATGTTCTTGTTCGACAGGATCTTTTACGACAGTTTGGACTGTCCGTAGTTTCTGGATGTTTACTTTGTTGGCCTTTGTTAATCTGAAAAGAAAGAGGAAGTAGTGGGGGTGAGGTTTGGTCTTATACAGGGTACTGTGTTATGATTGGTTGAGGGAATCCCTATATAATTTCTCTTCTCTGTGTCTATTATTTAAGTGTTCTTGCATAGCAAGACCACTTAATGTTATCTCACATATATATTATTATTATTATTATTATTATTATTATTATTATTATTATAGCCAAATTTGCCACCCTAACTCCTCCCACAGTTTTTACACTACATGGACAGTAATACACCAAAACGTGCGGATTGTTCCCGATCAGATTGCTATTCGATCGGATTGCTAAGATCAGGACATGATTTCTAAACTGCCACCACTCCCTTATTTTCAGGCCCACCTACACAAATCTTATATCAAAACGTTCAGCTATCCCTGCTGCCACTAAACATGTCACTGGCTAAGCCATAGTCCTGATAGTTTTCACAATATGGTCATTTGTTTGCAACTCACGCCATACATTGACATTCATTGAAACTCCACTCTAGCCACCTAAAATTTAAAGGTCAATATCTAAACTGCGACTGTGCCTTCATTGTTACTTCAGACATACTATGCATCATGTAGGTCTGGGTCTTGTGATTCTCACAATATAAAGCTCTTCACTGTAGGCAGTATAGTTTTTAAAATACGACCGTTTGAAGATGGCAACCGCCAAAATACTCTGACCTGTGCCAGGCTGGAGCAGCAAGTGATGTCATAGACAGGGCCTTTTGTACACCTGCTAATGTTTTTATAAATGTATGTTTTAATGTAACTGTGAAACACTTTGGGCAACAATGTTGCAATTAAATGTGCTATATAAATAAATAATAACAGTTACTCTGCCCACTCCAGTTGTAGACTACTGGTGGAGGCAAGAACACTTTACACAATTTCCCCAGAAATTGTAGCTTTTCTAGTTATTCTTATTCTTATTATAGCCAAATTTACCACCCTAACGCCTCCCACAGTTTTTACACTACATAGACAGTAATATACCAAAACGTGCGGATTGTTCCTGATTGGATTGCTATTAATTTGTGGAACGTTTCGTCAAATGGTTCACGGAATATCGTCGTTCTTGTGGCAAAATTGGTCCCATAGGAATGAATGGCAAAATGTTCAAAACTAGAGTGGGAGCTGTCAAAAGCTGAAAAATTAGGACATGATTTCTAAACTGCCACCACTCCCTCATTTTCAAGCCCACCTACACAAATCTTATATCAAAACGTTCAGCTATCCCTGCTGCCACTAAAAATGTCCACGGCTAAGCCATAGTCCTAATAGTTTTCACAATATGACCATTTGTTTGCAACTCACGCCGTCTATTGACATTCATTGAAACTGCACTCTAGCCAGCTCAAACTTGAAATGTGCTATATAAATAAATAATAACAGTTACTCCGCCCACTCCAGTTGTAGACTACTAGTGGAGGCAAGAACACTTCACACAATTTCCCCAGAAATTGTAGCTTTTCTAGTTCTTTACTGTTATTGTGTTTCAGTAAAGAATGGCTTAAGCAATACTTGCCGATGTGTCCTTTATAAACTCCTGACTTTCCCGTCAGGAAATGGTAAAATCATGTAGCTATCAGCAATGAAACTACAGAGAGGTATTCTGATAGTGTGTAGTGATGCCATCTGTATGTATTTGTGGAGGCCATATGTCTATGGTTATTTCCTAGATATGAAAATGTTCATACATGCAGTGCTACTTGAGCAAGAAGGATCTCCAACTCGGCACAGGACACAAACAGGGTTATTCAATAAGTGATCATTGTCGGGAATTCAAAGTGAATTTAAAATTTAAGGACAAAATAGTCAAAATGGAAATGTTATCAAAGTCAGCTATGCTTCCAGCTTCGCTACTTGACCTTAAATTCTCACTACAGTATATACATTTGAGAGAGCTAGTCTCTCTATGACATGATGCCTGTATCTGGAGGAAAGGCAGAGCCAATGAGAGTGAGAGAGGGCCAGAGGGGGACTGGTACATGTGTATGACATGTGGACAATATGTTTGGTCAATATACATTGGGACAATAGGACTATATTTGCATAATATGACACATATGAGGCAAAGTGTCATAACACCTGTTAGATTGACGCAGCCTCGTGATTATTGACCTTATTGAACTGCCAGGTTTGTGACATTCTAGCCATACTAACGGTGCACACAACCATGTCATTTATCTTGCACCATTCCGGCATTGTTTTGGACAAACATCTGTTTATGATACTAGGACATTCTGCATTATTTCAGGATTATAATGCAACATCGTCCGTGTGTCTTTTGGCATTGATGGAATGATAAGCAGCAATTACACCTTGGCCCGAATATTGACTTCACTAATTCTTTTTGCTCTATTATGTTAAGCCCAGCAACCTCCAATGACAGGTAAGCATTTATCTATTCTCCATTCTACCTTGTGAGGTGTGATTTAATTCTGCTTATTGAGTATTTTTTATCCTGGAAAAGCATGGGGGAATGAAGCAATATGGGGACAGTAGGGTTCTGGATAACTTCTTTGGGTAGTAGATGTGAGAGGATTGTATCATTTGTGAGTAAATGTGTGCCAAAAAAAGTCTGTTTAATAGAATAAGGGTGCGGCAAAATTATATATATTCAGAAATTGTAATAATTTAAAAACACAGGTTATATTTAACGTCATGGTCAGGGCTGCATGCACAGCCTCACCACACACAACAAACAGAACCTCCCACACATACAGCACACCCATTTACCACATGAGCCAACCTACACACCCAAACTACACCACAAGCGGCTTCCTTGCTCATGGCTTTTATCACACACATTACAGCACCCGCACACAATTAGCTTGTGAAAAAAGGCATACGGAAAGGGGAAAGAGATTGGCAGAGAATTTTTCAAATGATATCTTTACATACTGAAACAAAAAGTAATGTTACACACTTTCTGACGCCCCATTTTGGCAAATCACTAAATGAAAGGCTTTAATGCCCTGGAAAGATCAGGCGTGAATTATAAATTAAAAAATAAAGTAGTCTTACACATTTATTTAAGCGCGTAAAAATGTATTAATTAATGTGTTACTTTTATAATTGTTGGTTATGTATTTAAAAGTTGTTTCCTGTGCAGGTGGGCTCTATATTGAAGCAGTAAAGCCAGACTCAGACTGTGTCTCCCCCTAGTGGCCATGTGTCAGATGGTCCTATTTATAGTGTAACAGTAATGCCAGACTCGTAGTGTGTCTCCCCCTAGTGGCCATGTGTCAGATGGTCCTATGTATATTGTAACAGTAAAGCCAGACTCGTAGTGTGTCTCCCCCTAGTGGCCATGTGTCAGATGGTCCTATGTATATTGTAACAGTAAAGCCAGACTCGGAGTGTGTCTCCCCCAAGTGGCCGTTTGTCAGATTGTCCCTGGTCTTGCTCATGCGCCCTGGGGCCCGGTTGCTATGGACTCTCCGTTGTTGCTCAGCCTTTTGTCCCAGGACGAAGCCAGGCAGGGCGGCAGCGGGTGCAATGTGAGCTCGAGTGAAGAGGCCGCCAGAGGATAACGGGTGGGTAATGCTCTGCACACCATTAGCCATGATATCAGTGACACGGGTCACCCTGTCATAGACATTCTACAACTTAGTTTGCGCCAGTGCCGCACTTGATCTGCGTCATTCACTTACTATATTACTATACTGGAACGCTGAGGACTAGTAGCCATGGGCACTGGCAATGTATCTACAGGGAGCTGTAAAAAACATTTCACAACTGATTTATATCAACTTCTTAACACTGTCTTCTCCCTTATGTGTTTGTATTGAAAAGTGGATTAGATGATCATGACATATTTCACAGATTTGCCGGGATATGTATGTAAACAACCTTTGAAGTTTCTAAATTACATTTATAATGATCCATTTCTGAATCTGTCCAAACATAGTGAAATTATAGAGATGGGTTTAATGGCAGCATGTACATGGTGATATGGACAAGGAACTAGAGCCTAGTAGCTAGAGGATTGTAAGTGGTTTAATGATATTTAGAAATAGGGGGCTAGTATGTATGACTTGGAATTATAGGCCATAGGTGTTAAAGTGGAGTGTAGAACAATTAGAAGGAACGTTCCACTGGTTTTCCGAATGTTCCTCTTGTAGAACTTTAACCTGGAATTACACTGAATGCATAAACCCATTGTTTCCTACCCCAATTTCCTCAGAATGGCGGCATATTCCTCAGTTCTAGTATTACCTCAATAATTAACTCTTCCAATGCATTCAAATATTTCAATGCAAAACAGTGTTTATGAAAGACCCCACAAGACCATGAAAGATCATGCACGAAAGATCAGCATTTACATGTTTTCTCTGAAACTGCTACATCTAAAGGGTTAAAACTCATTGAGCTGAAGTGGTCTGGGCGACTATAGTGGTCCTTTAAGTATATTTACCGTAGTCTAAAATGACACTCTGGATCCTAAAGCACTCTAGCTTGCCGAAATGCTTTATGTATAAAGAGCATGTCCTCTTTTTTAAATTTTACAAAAAAGTGCAGATTTCAATAGAAATTGGATTTATGCATGTATGTTTATATTAGCAATATATGTACTAATCAGTGATTTATTTTATTTGGGCCGTGGAGTGTCCTTTTAAAGACGTATTGTTCACGTTGGTTTTATTGCCTTAGAGCTCTCTGATACAACCATACAAACCATACAAATCAAACATTCTGAACTGGTAGGAACTGAAAAAGACAATGTGTGCATGTAGAGTGGTTCTTGGAAAGTATCTGCACGCACTGATATCGTGTTAACCTTATAGCTATTGGCTGAGAGAGCAGGGCTATCCCATCACAGCGCTTTTACTCTATTATTGTCCTGCAGGTTTAATTAAATTGACACTGATAATGTGGAAATATAAATTCTGCATTATCAATGTGGCCAAAGAGGAGTTGGTCTCTGGGTGCAGGAGAGAACCCCAGTCTTTGTCAATCTACTCCCAAATGATGTGACAAGGAACTCGTAGACAGCATGCAGAATTCTTGGCAACCTTTACAGTGGCAGTGAGCTGTATCATCAATGTTGCTTTCAGTGTCCCATAGAACTGTACTTTCTTTACTGTGTTGCACCATCAATTTCAAATGTTTGTTTCAGCAGCTACTGTATCCTCCCACACTCTGTGAATAGCTCCCAACTGATTCCTCTCTTGCAACTGTCATTAGTCTAATACTACCCTTACCTTTTTGTGTCACTTTACCCCACTCTCTCTAGAATGTAAGCTCATTGAGCAGGGCCCTCAACCCCTCTGTTCCTGTGTGTCCAACTTGTCTGGTTACACCTACATGTCTGTTTGTAAAGCGGAATTTGACGGCGCTCTATAAATATAATAATAATAATAATAATTCTAAATAGAAGACCAGTTTGAGGATTAGACCCCTAAATCATCCTTCTTTCTCTAGTTATCTTAGTGATGGAAGCACCATGTTTATCAATAAAAGGTGGTGAGGAGCCACCAAAACTTCTGCGTAAACCACTACCACCAAAAATTCTACCTGCGCTCGATGCAAAGAAACCAACAACTTTCAAGCATAAAGGTAAGCTTACGCATCAAACTAGTTATACTTATTAACAGCTTATTAATATTCTGATACTGCTGGAATAGAAGTCCAAACTATTAGTACACGTATTCAGGAAATAGACAGACATGCTAGACCCACTCACAAATATAGTTTTATAAAGAAAATAAGGTGAAATACTAAACTTGAACATCAATAACTTGAAATCAGGGCTAATTCGAAAAAATAAATAAAGAAGAAAACACATTAATAGAAAAGGATTATATAAAACAATACGTTTTAAGTCAGATTGAATGGAAATGTGTTTATGATACATTACTAAACTATATTTTTATACACAGCCTGTTGATTTGATTTCATGTTTTACAAATGAGTATAAAGTTTGTTTTTGAAGAAAGGTAACTTTTTCGTACACTCCATTCCTTGAAAAAAAATAATGTTTCTGCCCTTTTAACCTTGGTGTTCAAAGCTTTTATGTTAAGGACCCTAATTATGAACTTGGAAACCCAATGGCAACCGTTTCCTCAAATTGAAATGTTAGCTCAATGGCCTATTCTTCAAGTGTAATATAATTAATATTTAAATATAGTTTCCAAACCATCTTAAAGGGACAAGCTATGCTCCAAAACAACTTTAGCTTAATGAAGTTGTTTTGGTGTAGAGATCATGTCCCCGTGGTTTCACTGCATAACTCTGTACCATTTAGGAGTTAAATAACTTTGTTTATGCAGCCCTAGACCCCCCCTCCCCCCCTTGGCTGAGACTCACATAGTCTCCCTACACACTTACTGAAAATGTCTCAATTATTTTAGCTTCCCTTGTTTTTTTTTCTCCATTGTAAATGATTTTTTATTTGGTACTCTTAATAATAGATCTAAATATATATATCTGTAAATCTTTGTGTTTTATTTTACAGAGTGTATACCTATTTTGCCAGCACCTACACCGTTTGGTAGCAGAACAAATAGTGCAGAAGAACATGTGCACTGGAACAAGTCTAGAGTCCATCAAGAACACAGTTATTCTCCCCTTTACCTGGCACAAGATGAAGAGCAAAGGAGTAGTGGACCTGCAGACTTTCCATCTAAGAAGTCTCACTGGAAGTCACTAATTCGTGTTCACCCTCACTCTAATGATGATCCTCGCTTCGAGCCTCCACCACCAGAATTTACTTTAAATGATCTGATTGCTAGATCCTATCACTATTCTACAGATCTAACGGACACTTTACACAAAACTACCTTGTCTCGCCAACACTACAGCAACATAGAACTGTTCATTGCCAGTCTGCAAAATAGGAAGCAAAACAAGGTTCACAATGTAGTGTTACCAGTATCGAACTTACCAGAGAAGTCAAAAAGAATTCCATGGCAACAGCAAATTCTTGGTAAATTCCACATTAAAGTTTATTTTTGCAGCTAAATTGTAGAGTATGACATTTATAGCAACAAAAGAAACAACTGCAACTATTAATTCATAAATCCTAGAGAAGCACTTGCTAGGGGAGTAATTACATCAACTACAATATGTGTGCTTATAGTTACTCTAACAGAGCAGGAGAACCATCTATAGGAAAGGTCTCCTTTTTACCCCTGTCATTCAGTTGTTAGTCTAAAAACGTATATGCTGACAATCTTTTCCTAAAATCTAGACATTTAATAGCATTTTCACTAGTGAAGTTTATAAGGTAAATATTTTCTTTCATTTAAAGTAACACACTAAGCACTATAACCACTACAGCTCCTCCAGATGCAGACGACCACATTCACTGCATCCAGTTTCCTCTTGCTAGACAATCTAAGTTGCTCTATAGAGCAAAGCAGGACCATGCTCACTGGCTGAGAGCATCCGCTAAGTGCTCTAAGCCTGTATCAGTTGTGCTATATTGTATAGCAACATCTGGCTTCACCTGCAGGATGAAATCTGATGCAGTGCATGTACCCAGGGGGTCTCAGGTAATTTGTCAAACCATAGTAAAATGATTTGACTACTTACCATGAGACAGCATCACGGCACCAAGGGTACTATAACCACTACAGCAGATTGTATATTGTTCTTATACTCCATTGTACTTATTACATCTGAGATAATACTAATAAAATTTTAGTTACAAAGATAAGTATAAAGTGTCTTGTACCATGACAAGTGCAATTTAATTTAGCATTTTATCAGTTTAGAATATCTATTCACAAAATTCTGTCTCATCAATTTAAAGGTTAAAGTCTGAGAAATGTCCATCTTTTATGATTGCTTCTTTTATAACAGAACGACAGCAAGAAATGTTAAGAATGGGAGGAACGAGAAGTCTGGAATATACAGGTAATCAGCTGTCTCTGACACTAATTGCATTTAATTACTAAACTAAGTAATAAAGTAGTCTTACACATTTATTTAAGCATGCAAAACTGACAAGGGAATAGCCAAGTTGGCGATTGTTTTCCAGTTTGGTTATTTTGCAATTCCGGTCGCCATTTTCAGTAGTTTCCAGTTTTAGAAATGAATTAAGTAAACTGTAAATTGAGAACCAATGTTCTAATATTCTGAATAACATAGCCAAGCCATTAATATAGATCAGTCTGATAATTTTTCAAATTTTGCAAATTGAGAAATTCCATTTTCAATTCACTTCTCGTCCGTGATCGGTGATTACTATTCTTTGTACAAAAAGATATGTAATTTCAAACAGTTTGAGGATGTACTCTCTAGATATACACTTTGTCGTGTATTGATTCAGTCATGATTTTTCATACAACACTTGGCTTGTGGACTTTACTGTTGCTATTACTGTAATGAATAAAAATTAAAAAATTAAAAAAATAAATTCACTGACAATTCCTAGTTTAATGGATGCCCCTGTGTATGTTGCTTTGCAAGGAAAGAGCTAAATGTCATCAGAACGTATCTATCCTTTGCATGTCTTTAAATATAAAAATTGTAGAAAGGTTTGATCACACCATATGGCCATAGGAACACCACTATGTCAAAGTACCCCAATACAGGAGGTTTCTAATATTGGATATAAATATGGTTTCTACATTATTTACTTGTTTAACTGCTCAATCTGTTTAACCGATCTCTTCCAATTGTATTTAATGATCTATTAAAATGTGACACAGGGTTCGCACTAATAACAAAGATGAAGGAGGTGGGGTTGAGCGCTCTGTTCTTTATATTCTGAACTCCTACGTGTTAATGCATTTTAATGCTTTATATCTGTTATTACCTGATATTTCTACAGGAAAAGAAAAAGCATCCCATAATAATTCACAAACAATGGATTCGGATTCAGAGCATGATAATAAAGTGCTCATCACACATTGCAACCTTGCTATACTGGAGTGCATGGTACATGGAGGACATGCCTTGAGCTTAAAGGTATTGTTTTATTCCTCTTACTCAAAGCATCACGCAATATAGGTTCAGCCACTGTATGCATGACAGAGAGAAGTAACCACAAGCACAAACTGATTTGGTGGGAGAAGTAATGCATAGAACAAACAAACATTTCAGGCATTCTCGTGTACATTTGCTTGGGATTGCTGGCCAGCAATTTAGTAATTTGTCCCAGAATTTCTCATGCCAGCCAATAGATTTGTACCTGTTATAATAGATTGCAAATCTGTTTTTTGTTTTTTTTGTAGGCATATTTTATATCCAAACTCCCAGACCTGACTCCACTGTACGGCACGTTATTGTACCTTAACTTGTCTTTCAATGAACTGCGATGTTTCCCTAGAGAGGTAAGTTACCAATAATTAAATAGCTTTAGAATTCCTATGATTCTACATTTACTGTATTGATGGAAACCCTAGTCAGTTACGTGCCACTAGCTATCTAATTTCTGCTACTGAGATCTCGTTAATAATTCAGCCTTTCAATAAATGGATATCGTAATTATCCTGAATCATATTGTGTGTGTATTGTACAGTTACAATATTTTCACTCTGTTTTATACAGTTGGTTAGGAACCAAAACTAAGCTAGACTGTGTTTATGTTTTGTTTATGTAAAGTACTGTATGTTATTTTTTAGGCAGATATATAAAGCTATGTAAGGGGTGCTTGTTGATGAGCTGTTTGAGACGGTTTTGCAGTAAAGCTCTTTATATTTTAACCTATTATTTTTTAAGCTGCCCTTAAAATAAAGAGAGAACTAAAACCATTACAAAGGTGAAGGACATATCAAGAGAAATGTCACTTTTCACTTTCAGATGGAGGTTTCAAAAAGCCGTTTCCTCCATTCTCTGCATGCCCACATAAGAAATGGGAGCGTATGCATACCAATTTATTGATATATGTGCTTGCTCATCTAAATTAGATATGACTTGAATTCTTTGTCTGCATGTTGTGTGTCTGTGTGCCCAATAACACAACAGCCTTCCGTGGGTATTGTTAATTAGGTAACTGTGTATGCGCACAAGGCTTAGACACGCATGAACGGTTGCATTGTCACCTGCTGATTGAGTGCAGAAAAGTACTGTATTTTAGAGCTGGATCCAGTGATGTGAAAACTTAACTTTTCAAGCATTCATTTTAGAACATGCTCTTTAGGCATGTAAACTGAATTTTATTTGTTTCAAATTAATTACACACAACAGTAGAAATTAGCTCGATGGTGAAACATATTGCAACAAAGGTCTACAGTGATTAGACTACTTACACTAAATCTTAAAGATCATATATTATGAGAATAAGAAATAAATCCAAAGCTTCTGAAATGGAAACATACTCATAACTCTAATTATTTCTTTGCTATCCTTATTGTTGTGTGAATTATATTTAAATTAAAAGGGTTACAAAGATGTGTTTTCAGAAAGCTAGAATTTTTTAGAGCATTTACTAATGTTTCACTACTATGAGTATGAAAATATGAAACAGGGTGTATCTACATCTCAAAGTATTGTTTGTTTTTTTTCTATGAGAAACAAAGGTCTATATTAGAACATAAAAAGTGTGCACTATTTGTTGACATAGATGGGCCGAATGGTTCTTATCTGCCGTCACATTCCATGTTTCTATTTGTTATCTCATTCTTAGGTCTACAATCTTGAAAATTTGGAAGTGCTTAAGCTAAGAAATAATCCAATACAAGAGATCCCTTCCGGCATTCAGAACCTGAAAAAACTCAGAACCTTCATAATATCATTTTGTTTATTATCTTCACTTCCTATTGGGTAAGAATATAAAATCATTTATTAAACATCTGCAAGTCTTGAGATTTTTGAACCCCGTGAAGGTAGATGAGGTTAGTATTACCATAATATTTTGTCAATTTCTAATTACTCTTTAATTAATTCTAATGTGCCTGTCATTAAAAAAAAACACCCATTAGGTGCAGAGCCTGATTGCCCTACTGTATTGACGTGTTTTTCTGGAACTTCTCCATAATCAACTCAAATATAATAATTTAATGCTTCTAAATAGCATATTGTCAGACCCAGTCAGTTCTGAGACACATCATCTGCTGATAAGTCTTTGTTACTCATCTATTTCATGGTGTCTCAGCATCTAAGGGCCTAGTTGCCTGTTCTGGTGGAGGAGGTGGCCGATCTTTAGGTCGAAGTGGAGCTGCAAGCTGCAGCATAAAGTCACTGGAACCCATCCCCCTCCCTCTGGACAGGTAAGGATTATCCTGGCCCCACTGACTTGTTATTAGCCACTTAGGGGAAATTGGGCTCGCCTCATGCTGCTACCGTCTCCTCACTACAAAATGATGGATGCTAGCTTGCGGTGTAGATGAAGGGATGCTCCCAACTGTACAACCCAATTCTGAGAGACCCTTGCCAAACAGGTGCCCAATTTCGGATAGGTTCCCAAGGCCTTGTACAGCTGACCAGGCAGCAATGAAGTTTCTTCCACCTGTCCAGGCCCATAGGACGTGAACACCCGGATCCAAAGCAGTTTGGGGAATCACCCTTCTACTACATGCACCGCACCCACTTAAAGCCTGTCCTTCTACTGCTGAACGAACTTGCACTTGTCTTGGACCTGCTGGACTGAGGGCTGTACAACATCAGACCCACAGCTTGGAGGTGCCTGTGAGAGGTAGACCCTGGTACCAACATGCTTACTGTGTTGCTGGTGCTGATTGGGACCTGGTCCCTCCTGTGTAGACTGGGAGTTGGCTGACTTTGCATGATAGTGGTGAGGTTAAATGCAAGCATGTATTAATTCAGTAGGCAATATAAGGTTTAGCCAGCCATTACGTGATAGGAAATCTTACTTTTGTTTGGTAAAATCTCTGCAGCCTATAAATTTAATATTGCATATATTAGAAATTGTTTATCACTTTATTCCTGTTGCTGCAGGTAGAAACTGTATCTTTATTTCTCTTAGAATCTACTCAACATACTCTTTATAATTCATAAAATGAGATGTCTTGATATGCTTACTTATAATATGTATATGATTCTCGCTAATATACTCAAGCATGCTGATAGTTCTTTCAACTTTAATAAGCTGTCATCTCAATAAAAAATTTTTACAAAAAAAGCCACCCATTAGCCATTTTCATATCCTCATCTCTTATCTTGCAACTACCAACTTGTATGTATTTTTATCACTACCAAGAACTTAAAAGGAAAAGAAGTCTATAATGTGGGTGCTATGGAATCAGAAAATAATGTGTACAGTTCACTCGGAACAAAAAGTTCATAGCTAGTACATATAGTAAGGTCAACAGAGTATTGTAAATTATATTCCACAATAATAGTTTATTCTGTTATTAAAGGGACACCCTAATCACCATAACCACTGTAACTTATTCTAGTATTTATAATCTTATAAACCACAAATGTCAAGGTTCTCCCCATCACCCTTAGTCTTTAGCCTTTATTAGTAGACAATCAGTTCTGAGTTGTTGTCATTGCTATCTATTTTGGACATAATTTTCATTAGGAACCTCTCTAACACAAATTGGCAAAATATCGTGGGATGGCTTCCTTAGACATAACACCTTAACCACTACAGTGAACTCTAGTGATTGGACTGTATAAAGTACCATTTTTTTTTTATTCTTTATTTTTGACGTGCATGAGAGTAGCAGGCATTCTCTCTATGCCACAACAGCAAAAGCAAGACAAGTGTTGACATTGCGTTTAACAGCGTAGGCATTCAGGGTTAACTGCAAACATTTTTTGTAAGGAAATCAAGAGTGGTGCATGTTTAAGACATAGATACAGTATAAAAAAAAAAGCGTTTATAAGATAAAATAACATCAAGCTTGGTCATGTAGTTCGTATTAAATAGCTTGACAGGATTAAGCTGCACATTTTATATGTAAACAGGATGATGCTATCAAATATGAGAAACAAAAAAGATCATTATCATTGCTTGTACGTCATAGGTTTTGCTCACTCGGGTGCTTAGTAAAGGAACACCGATTGCTATACAGTAGTATGCTGGATAAATTAAGACAAGATAGAGTAACTATAGTTGGTAGTTCTAGCATACACATGAGGGTAGAAACTCTTAGGTGTAGGTAGGTATAGCATAGATCTGGAGATATATGCAAGTTGTGTAAAACCGTACACAAGGGTTGCTATACATAGGTTTCAGCAAGATCTAACTAGTGTAGCTTAAAGACCACTGGAGCTGAGCAGACCACTGTGATATTGTATGTCTCTGTGTGGGATCAGGTGTAGAGCTATGGTTGAGGAGGGCTCATTGGCTGAGTTGTATGTCGTAGCACTTCAGGTCTCAGGCAAAGTACCATATTTGAGTTTTTGTAACAATACAAACATTAAACCGGTTTCATATTTATGAATGCTCTTTTGTAACTTGCTTGTTTCTAGTTATGTAATTGCGTAAAAGTAAAAATCCTAGCAATAGGGAATATTCCGGAATTCGGTGTTGTTTTTGTCAGAACTGTAGTCACTATATTTAAAAAAAACCAAAAACCTCGTCATTTGTTGAACTTGGATAATCCCAACTTCTTCGTAAGCCAAATTTGTACTGATCAGAAATGTTTTTACTTTTCCTTCAGGCTCTTTGTGCTGCCATACATACAGGTTTTGGATGTTTCCTATAATAGCATTTCATCGATTCCTAATGATATTTGCAACCTCAGGTAATTAGAAATATATATTTTTTTATATGTGTGTGTTTTTTTTTACTGTTTTGTATCTCTTTCATAGTTGTTAATGATGTAAATTGGAGTTATGCTTCACTACCCTCAAATGTAGGCTGTGTGGCCTTGTTTTTGTATAATGCTCACATTATAGTTTTAAAAAGTTTCACAGAATTTTTTTTTTTCTAAGCAACTTTATTACTGTCTCTATAAAAACAATATGCACACAGTGGCAGAATAATGAATGCACCAAACATTCAATTCATTTGGTGTTGTGGTTCAAAAAAGAATTACTGTGTGAAATGCTCTGACCTTAAAGTCAAATCAAATTAACACACTACAGTAATGATGCCTATTATCAATTAGGGGTCTCTCCTTGTAAAGGTGATGCGCCTTAGATTCTGCCACAGAGAATCATTGAATAAAATGATTAGCTATGGCTGACCGTGACGGAACTGCACATGCACACATAACACGCAGTATGTTATACTCAGAAGGATTGGAAGAGTGGCTTGAAGCTGCATTTCCAAGCCCGCTAATTATGGAACTAAAGGGTTTTGGGGAGATGGAGCGAGGCAGTACAGCAGGCACTATAACAATGTCATTAAACAGCGCTTGAATCAATGCAAACTATTTAAAACAGATTTTTTGTTTCAATCGTGATTTCCCTGCTGGTATTCAACAACACTTCACATAATAATGTCTAGCAGAGAGTGATCGTATTCCCTAATGTGTCCTACTTGAGACATGTGCATGATGCAAAACCGTATTTTAATTTGCATAAATCTGTGGGACTTATATCATGTTTGGCCCTAATATTATTACTATTATTATTGCCATTTATATAGCGCCAACAGATTCCGTAGCGCTTTACAATATTATGAGACGGGATGTAACTATAAATAGGACAATTACAAGAAAACTTACAGGAACAATAGGTTGAAGAGGACCCTGCTAAAACGAGCTTACAGTCTATAGGACTATATTACTAACTTAGGCCTCAATTTATTATGGCTAGATAAGTTTTCCGAATAATTTTTCATTTTTGGGTAAATGTTAAATACGTCTTTCAATGTATTTTTCAATATATCATATATAAAAACAAAACTATCAAAATATTAGTAAAATTTTTTTTTTATAATATTACATAATTTTTTAAGTTTATCCAAAAATAGTAAATCATTTGGAAAGCTTATCCAACAATATAAAATTAAAGCCTTATTTAGTACCTGGCTATAAATATATTTTTCTACTTCTATGCTGTGCTTTAATTTTCAGTAACAATATAAACATTAGCCAGCTATTTGGCCAGTACTACTTTTAGTAGATTGAATTTTGTGTTTTTTGTTTTTCTTACTTGGATGGCTCCTATTTGTGTGTAGATTACTGCTCCATCCCTCATTGTAGCATTGAAAGGTTTAAAAAGTAATCAAACTCACCTTTATTTCAATACCCGGGTAGTCTTATTGCTCCACCTCCTGTGAAGTCATCATTACTAATGACTTGTGTCCAATTAGATGCTTCTGACAGAGAAGCATTGGGATACACAGTGTGTGCACAGCTATCACTGCAATCAGCCAACAATGCTTCTCACAGAGAAGCACGAAAGCAATGCTGCTGTGAAAGAAGTATTTACTTCCACTTTGAGTGACAATTCAGCATGAGCTAAACAGAAAACCCAACAGTGTTACAAAGATGAATAATAAAACTGAAGTTATCTTCATATTTATTTTTTTAATTAACCCTACAGAGATAAACATTTAGCTCCAAAAACAAATTGAAGATCATTAGGTGTTTGTTTTAAATGTTTTTTTATTTTCATTGTGAAGTAAAAGCAAACATTTGACAAATTACTATAAAAAGCCCCTGGTCGCCTACGCAGAGGCATATAAGTCAAAGTATGTAGATATAGTGGAGGCAATTATGTAAAACTATCGTGCGTAATTTGCAGAAGTAGAGACATAATGCAGTGAAAAGCGGAGCATGGTACAGTATGGCTGTATATATGTATATTTCTGATGTTAAGACCATCTAAGTAAGTAAACATAGAGAGCATGGTGAGTTCAAAACATGCAGTGTGAGCTTGGCAATGAGTGGTCTAAACTTAAGTAAGGAGTCGCCAAATCAGCAGTTGAAGACTATTCAATAATATAATCGGGTACCAATGCTTAAAAAGAACACTAACGTTAACTGTATTAATAACATGTATCCAAAGTCCTACATGAGGCGCCATACGCAAGTGGGTGACTTAGAATATGTGGTTTAGACTGTGAGTCATATTTTTTTAATTAAACCGTATTAAGAGTCCTGAAAGTAGGGATAATGTAGGCAGTGAAATATAACAAATATGCACTTATTTAACTCAGGCAGTGGCAGTGACAGGCCTCTGTAGAAGGTGGGTAACATATAGTATGCAATTAAGTACAGAAACCGTACATTTTGGTTAAGAAATAATAGGTGACATTAGGCTAAGGCTTATGGAAGCAATGTAATGAGATGAACATGTTCATATTTAAACTAAATTGTAAGTGAGAGATTAAACATTATTCTAAGCAGATTACAAGTGTGAGTATCCTTGAGAGGACGGTTGAGTGGTATGGAGTACTTAGCATAGTGATGCGTTGAAAGCAGCATCTCGAGAATAAAGATAAAAATATATATAACCAATTGTAAAATTAAGAAAATTAATTACTTCACTGGGGAAGGAGTTATATTTCCCGGTGCGAGGGGACAGTTCATTGTTGGTGCAGCAGTCTCCCAGATGATGTAATGTCAGGCCCCCTCCATTATATCATCTTTGCGTGGTAACACAGGGCATGTATGCATATGAGAAAAGGGTCATTCACAAATGGGCCCCACGGGCACCCCCAGTGCGACAAACCCCCTTCTGCCTCCCTCAGGGCAGGTTCCTGTCCGTCAGTGGCAAGTTCTATAGTGCCGTGAGCACTCGGGGGCTCAGGCAGTCCAGCAAACCCCCCCGTAGAGTCCGCAGGTCACTCGCCCCCTGCACCCCACCCCAGCTCTTCCAGAACCTCTTTGCAGAACCAGCCCAGTTCTGCCTCATCTGGTTCTGGTCACATGCATGGCACCAGCGCGCGCCCCCGCCACCAGTCCGCCCGGGGGACCACGCATCCCGGCCCCACAAGGCTCGCAGAGTCAGGGACAATTTCTTCTGGACTACCACCAAATCCAAAGGTTAGGGCCGGCTCCATACCGACCTGCCAGTCGCTCAGTGGACTGCTTCCGCGGATCAATCACCCCTAGGCATCCCGTTGCTGTCTCCTGCAGTAGGTAGGTATGGCTTTCTGTGTTGCTTTAAGAGCATTCCGTGAGGGGAGTAGTAGTGCACCAGGCAGGGCCTCCATCTCCAGTGTCTGAAGTCCGAACCCGCGGGCCGGGATCACCCCCGCCAGCCAGCGGGGGGAGGGTTGAAACGACTGCCTCAAGGCCGCCCTGCATGCTGAGGTGTCCTTTAGTTCCGGGCACAAGGCTCCAGTCCATGGTGTCCAAGGCCTCAAGGGCCTGCCACATTCTGGGCTTGCTACGGGCGGGTTGAGAGCCGAATTGGTATGTTTCTGGGGTTTCCCCATGTAGTCATGTTTCACGGGCTCTGGTGGGCGCAAAGAGCAGTAAATAGTTGTTTTTAGGGGCCCAAAACCAGAGCTGGCGAAGATGGCTGCTGCTCAGCTCAGCGGCCTGGCTCCGCCCGCCGCTCTATAGGTGTTTGGACTGTTCCTTTAACAGTTTTTTTTAACAGCAATTTTTAAGATTTTTTTCTAAATTACAACTCACTTACCATGAAACTTATCTTGACATATTGAAATCTCATTTAAACCACTGTCTGTTAACTGTGCCTGTTATGAATTTACACATATTCAAAAAGATAGAACTGATTGGACAAAAGAAACCATCAGATTCTGGCAAATATCAAATTAAAACAAAAATCTGGATATATATTGTTACGATTATTAATATGCTGAATTATTTTGAATAATAAAATGTTTAGGCTTTTTGTTGTGCTCTCTTAGATGAAAGATACATTTTATAGTTCAGGAAAACAAACTTTACTTTCTCACATTCCTGTTTTTTTTTTTTTTTTTAATTCTGCCCCTTTATTAGGGTACTGGAGTTTCTTAACATAGAAGGGAATAAACTACCAGCTTTGCCCTGTGGTGCCCTGAAACTTCAGCTGAAATACCTGCGTGTTGGCAATAATGCTATGCACCCCCTCTTCTGGAGAGAAAACACTCACATTGAACCCCAGAGGTTAGCGGACTTGGCAGCCCTCACTTTCAGTAAAAACGGCACGGAGAAATATTCTGCAGTTATACCAGAAGAAGTCAAGCAAACACTACAGAAGTAAGTGATATAGTGAGTCATTAAAAGGTTAAACAGAACTTCAGTTATAGGAAAGTTAATACAGTTTTCCTCCCATTAGATGTGCAGTTTAATATCAAGTCAATATGATTTTAGCAAGGATATTAAAAAGTAACTCAGGCATCATGACTACTTTAGTGATATGAAGTGGTCATGGTGCTTGGAGTCTCTGTGCTGCGTTTTGCTATGAAATGCTGCACATACAAAGTTTAAACCACAGGTTTGTCATTGGGACATCATTACCCAACCTGGAACAACAGATCCAAGGTGGTTATATCAGCTCTGTGTTAGGTCATTCATGGAGTGGTCATCTGATGCTCTCCAATAAATGGTGACTGGATAGGCTTCCATCTTCTGCAGAAACATGTCACAAGCGTTATAAGGAACCTGAGAACTCAGCAGGGACCCTGGTAACTGGGCAAACCTTTGCTAAACTGTTTGCCACCTTATCGCAGTGTGGGTTCAGAGTAATCCTTTCATCATAACCAATACAGCAGGCTTTAGTTGTTATGATGCATGGAACGACCCTTTAAAGTTAAGCATTTTCATTAAACACGAGCAGGAAGTTGCACAATTCAATGATGCATTGGATGGAGCATGTTTTGTAGGAAGTAAAGTCAATGATTAAGGCTACGATTTTTAGATCGAGCAAAAGAGCCAGTTCCTTATTTGCTTACAAATGCTCTATATCTGAAAATGTATATTTATATTTTACACAAGGGTTTAGGTTTTCTGTCATATTAAGTAGGTAGGCACATATCTCAAAAAGGATATTTTAGAATTCTGCTTGCATGATCATTGTGATACAATTGTTTTTATATTTTTCCAAGCTTTAAGGTATGTGACTGCTGCAGAGGGCCTCTCTATGGTCAAGGTCTTTGCTTTATCAGACCTTGTGAAAAGATCTTCGGAATACGCAAGCTTCCTTTTATGTTTCGCTCCTGCTCAGTATCCTGTTATGAAACCTTCATGCACCAAACAGAGTCGCTTGATGAACATTTGTATGAAAGTTGATATTATCTTGTTAAGTCTTATTTAGCATTCCATTTTATCGAAAGACAACGGGTGACCTTTTTCTTGCTCGTTAAAGGGATATGCACAATTTTCTTTTTTAAACCAGTAACTTTTAAACAAACCAAAATAAAAACAAGAAAAACATTGAAAGTATTAATAAATATTTATAAGCTCACTTTAAACTTAGTCCGATTGCACTGTTAATTACACCTCTCAACCAGGGGAGTTTCTTTAGCCCTTCCTCAGTTTCAGGCCTACTTTGCATGATTACAGTGATCTGACTTCCTCTCTTGTCCCCCTATCAGGATGTTGCAAGGTGAAGTGATATTCCAACAGCAAATGTGTAAATCTGTCAGGCATGTCTAATGCACATTTTCAGCATTCCTAGGGAAAGGACACTAATTTGGTTAGAAAAGGGTCTCCCCTGGAGTGAGAAAAGCAAGAAAAGCATAAAAAGAAGAAGCAGGATTTAAAAAAATGAAAAGAATTTCAAAATCATTTACCTGCAGAGTGAGGCAACTTTAGGATTCAGTGGTCTCAAAGTGATGCATGTCGCTTTAAGTGGCATTACATGTATCTAAAATACATGATATAGAAAATTGTAAAGATTATAAAATGACGTAAGGATTACAGAAGCCATTTTGTGTCGGATGAGGATTACCTGTTGAAGCAAGAATTTTGCCACTAAAAAGTCTTGAGAGATTATTTACCTCTTCACATGGAGGTTTTACAACGGATTGATTGAAATTGCATGCCTCTTGGCCGAAACATCGAAAAATGCATATACAGTATTACCCACAAATGCTAGGTGGTGAACGGCCTCTAGAGGGCGCAAGACATCAAACCATTTAACAAAACTATTAAAGTAACATGGCTGTCCCATCCGAAATACCCAAAATCACTGTAACAACTAGGTAGAATTAGTAACTGATTCAAAAATCTGATTGTCAGCGCATAACAAATTACAGTAAAGTCTATTACATATTAAAGATTTACTAAAAGCTGAAGGAGGAGATTTATAAAGAAAGAGCTACATCTTAAAGACATGTAGATAGACAGACATAGACACACACACACACACACACACACAGAGAGAGATTCAGTTGCTGCTAGAAGTTGTTTGGAACAATACACAAAATGTAGACTTCTGTAGCCTACTGCCAGGTAGGCTGCCATGGACCTAGGCCAGGCATAGGCAACCTTCAGCACTTCAGATGTTTTGGACTACACCTCCAATTATGCTTTACCAGCATTATGGGGGATGTAGTCCCAAATGTTGCCTACCCCTGGTCTAAGCCAACAGGGGAGATCAAATTATCGTTCACACTGGATAACGCTGGCGGAACAGGAAGCTCCGCCCTTCCATTGGTCGTGGCAGGAAGGGAGATCTATCTTTGTGGACATCAAAGATCTGCCTCACTGGCCCCATACACAATGCCATCGGGGTGGGGTGCTGAGAACATCTTGTTTACACCTCTGGGCATTGTACTGCAGTACAAACCATTCTTGTGTCAATGTGTTTGCATAGTTTTATAAATTAGGGATCGACCACTATTGTTTTTTTTTAGAGCAGATATGATAATCTGAACTTTCAAGCCGATATTCTGTACATTTACCATTTTGAAAAACTAAACGATTTCTAAAGGTAAATGCACAAAATATGCATGCCACATGTAGTTGGTGCAGTGTGTTTAGACAGGGGAGGTGTGTGTGTAGTGGATGCAGTGTGTGTTTGTGTAGTGTGTATATAATGAATGCAGGGTGTGTTTGTGTAGTGTGTGTATATTGTGAATGCGGTGTGTTTGTGTAGTGTGTGTATATAATGAATGCAGTGTGTATATAATGCAGAGTGTGTGTTTGTGTAGTGAGTGTATATAATGCAGAGTGTGTTTGTGTAGTGTGTATATAATGCAGTGTGTTTGTGTAGTGTATGTATATAATGCAGAGTGTGTGTTTGTGTAGTGTGTGTATATAATAAATGCTGTGTTTGTGAAGGGATGTAAATTTGTGTAAAATGGGCAGGGGGGGGGGCATTCTTCTATGTAAATTTTATTTTTAATATTTATGTTTTTATTTTATTTTTTGTACCTCCTCCCTGCTTGCTACCTGGCCAGGGAGGGGGGCTATGGCATTCCCTAGTGGTCCAGTGGCATGTACTGAGCAGTGGGGGGGGCCCACAGCAAGCTCTTACTTAGCTCCCAGTGTAAATCTTGTGGCCTGTGTGCCGCGCGGAGCGTTGCCATGGTAACGGCCGCGGGACTCGCTAGATTTACATTGGAAACAGAAGGGAGCTGCTGGGGGGTAAATAACAGCTTCCTGCGGGCCCTCCAGGACCACCGAGCTTGTAATGGGCCCGGCGGTCCTGGTATGTATTATCGGGAATATCGGTATCTCTATTGGCCGATACCAATATTTCCGAAAATACCGAATATCGGCCGATAATATCGGTAAAACCCATAATCGGTCGATCCCTAGTATAAATATATATGAGAGGGCTGAAATAGCCAAATCTAATGATCAGAAGTGTCTGCATCTTGTGATCAAAAATATGTACATAAAAAGGGCGGAGCGACAGCGGCCTGTGTCGTAGCCGCTGAGGAGAATGTGAGCACCTATAGGATGGACCCATCCACCTGCAGGAGGCCCCAATTGATTACAGGTACCCCAACAGGCTTATTCCACAAAGTACATAGACAGAAGAAGAAAAAAAAATAAATTAACATTTATGTTATTTACCGTACATGTTTCTGACCACCTCGTCCTTAGACATGGTAAGGGTGGGGAGGGAACAGGACAGTATGGCGTACATACCAGGGTCGTGGCTGCGACTGGGCCCGGCCCACCAGGGGGCCCGGCCGCCCCTGCGACCCGGTATGTACCCACAGGGCCAGCCTCTTCCCCTGGGGGGCCCAGGAGCCGACCACCCCAGGGCCCCCCGAGGCTGGCCCTGCTGACACACTGAAGGCAGGCACTCGAGGGAACACTCAGTGCTTCCTCTTCAGCTCCCTCGCGCACCGCACTGATACCGGAGCCGGAAGATGGCGTCATCTTCCGGCGCCGGCATCCCTACGCGGCGCACGAGGGAGCTGAAGAGGAAGCACTGAGTGTTCCCTCGCGCGCGCGCCCGCCTGCCCGACCGGCCACCCGCCCAGGAGCCCATCAGCACCACTGGACCCCAGGGAATCCACCCAGCACTCCAAAAGGTAAGGAGGCTGGGGGGATTCAATTTAAAAAAAAAAAGTGTCTTAGAGTGTGTGTGTGTGAGTGTTAGTGTGTGTGTCTGCTAGTGAGTGTCAGCGAGTGTGTTTGATGTCTGTTAGTGTGTTTGTCAATGAGAGTGTATGTTTTGTAAGTGAGTGTGTATGTATGTCTGTCGCTGAGTGTGTCTCTGTTAGCTAGTGTGTATGCGTCTGTAAGTGTGTGTATGTCTTCAGCACTTACCTTTCTCCAGCGCCGGACTCCCTTGGCGCTGGGGATCCCTCAGCCTCCCAGCTCCGAATGCGACCGCACATGCATTCAAACCGACGTTCAGTGTGCTCCTCTAGCGGCCGTCAGTGAGACAGCCACTAGAGGCTGGATTAACCCTCAGTGAAACATAGCAGTTTCTCTTAAACTGCTATGTTTTCAGCTGCAGGGTTAAAACTAGAGGGACCTGACACCCAGACAACTTCATTGAGCTGATGTGATCTGGGTGTCTGTAGTGGTCCTTTAAGTGTGTGTGCATCTGCATGCACTGGCGTACATACCTCGGTCGCAGGGGTTGCAGCCCTGTAACCCCTGCGACCAGGTGCCCACCGCCATGTGTTGCGGCCCGCGGGGGGGGGGGGCCACGGATCAATTTTCGCACCGGGGCCCCATGGGTCATGTGTACGCCACTGTATGTGACACTATTATATTAAGCAGTAAAAATATAACCGTTTAAAATGAGATTTGGAAGACCTCTGGGAGTACAAATAATAGGAAGGAGAGGAACTCCAGCCAAGAAAACCATCTGGTGGTATAGACTTTAAGGTCTTGATCTAGGATTATCAAGTCCTTGATCTGTCTAATCTCATCTACGGTGTCCACTGAAATGCAAAACAATGGGAGCACTTTTTCACATGCTCTAGATTACTGTCAAATGTCTCAAATTTATTGACAGTTTAAAGTCTGAGTGAGCACTGAAAGTGATTGAGGAGCATGACTGTAGAAGGTTATCAGCTAAATGTTAAATAATTCTGTAGTGTTTTGTCCAAAATACTGCACCTCTGGGCAGTCCCAACATACATGTAGCAGGTTTCTCTTATTGTGACCACTTCTCCAACAGTTTAGAGACATAAGGTGCATGCGTGGCAAGAGCTGCTCTCGGCCAGTCTGTAGCTTCTTCTGGTAAAAACACCAAATCCAATGCTTCTTTATGCAATGTATTTGTTGCATTCATTGTCATTACATTTAATGTAAAGACCTTTGGCGTTAAAAAACAAAATGAATAAAAGCTCTTAAAGAGGTAGTGGCTCTAGTGGCAGTCTGTCTGATAGGCAAGAGAGGTGTGTTCTTGGACAAATGCAATAACATTACGGTTTCTCACGGAGTAAAGTTACAACACCTGTGCATCAAAATCATGTTATGGGGTTTGGGGATTTTACAGCGAAGGAAAAAAAGTATTTGATCTTCTGCTGATTTTGAATATTTGCCCACTGACAAAGAAATGATCAGTCTATAATTTTAATGGTAGGTGTAATTTAACAGTGAGAGACAAAATAACAAAACAAAAACAAACAAAAATAAATAATCCAGAAAAACGCATGTCAAAAAAGTTATAAATTGATTTGCATATCAATGAGTGAAATAAAGATTTGACCCCTTTGACTTAGTGTTTGTTGCTTTCGGTGACTAATGCTTTCAAGACAAAATATAAACCACATTTTTAGGTTTGTCTGGTTTAATAATGAAGTTGGACACTGTAACAAAAGCTGTACATAAAATGTCAAACATACACTTCATTCAATAATTTCTGGTCAATTTTGTTGAACTCATCTGTACAAACATACAAAGTCTTCAGTGCTTGGTGCAACAAAAATGATCACACAAAGCAAAACCTTCCCCAAGATACAGTACTCTTAAATAGCAGCGTAAAGTCTTGATTGTGCAACACTCTTTAAAAAAAAAAAAAAGGGACAAACAAAATATATATCATTCAATTTTAAACAGAAAAGGTCAAAAGTATTTACAGAACATAAAAACCCTTTATACATAAAATAAAATGAAAAAAATCCCCCAAACATATGTGCACTTTCCCGGTTGCCCTAGTTGGTTAAATATTGCCATAAGTGACAAATCATAGTGGCACTGAAGAGACAACAAATACACACTAATAACCTTCCGAAGAAGAAGGAAAAAATAAATAAATTAAAACTTAAAAAAAAATTGCTTTAAAGCTGAAATTGTTTAAATGACAGGATACTTTGTAAACGTTTATACAATAGATTTGGTGCAAGTTTGGCCAGATAATGGCACCAACAGTTCCTTAATTTATAAAAGTTCACATATATTAAAAAAAATAAAAATTTAGAATCTGGTATAAAAATCCCTTTTTTGTTAACACTGTGGGCTACATGATGCAGCAGGAGATTCACATCTAAGAAGGGCTTCGCGTGCTTCAATCCGGCGACATTTCGGGCAATCTTTGGCCTTGAAACATTTCTTGTGAAAACATGCTTTACAACCTGGTATAGAAGAAGACAAAAAGTCAGCACTGCCAACAATGTTAATACAGCTTCAATTTTTTAATTTTTTTTTTATTTTAAACTCCCTTTTAAAGAATTGTTGAATAGCCACCACAATGTAAATAATCAAAACATTTGACTTGTTACCTGGAGTCTGACAGGCACTGATCCCTACATTTCAAAACCATCTTCACTGCGCCAAGTCCGGCAGTGCAGAGATTAGCTCAGTGGCTGACAGCAATGAGCCAATGCTCTTGGCTAACAAGCTGGCACCTCACAGCAGGACTTCACTCAGGAGAGCCAATAGAAGCTCCAATAGGAGCTTCCACCTCACTTCTATCTGCAGAAACATAGGGACCCCGGGTAAGAAGTCAAAAAGGTAGGATTATTTACATGGGGTTTGGGGATTTTACAGCGAAGGAAAAAAAGTATTTGATCTTCTGCTGATTTTGAATGTTTGCCCACTGACAAAGAAATGATCAGTCTATAATTTTAATGGTAGGTGTAATTTAACAGTGAGAGACAAAATAACAAAACAAAAACAAAATAATCCAGAAAAACGCATTTCAAAAAAGTTATAAATTGATTTGCATATCAATGAGTGAAATAAAGATTTGACCCCTTTGACTTAGTTCTTGGTGACAAAATCCTTGTTGGCAATCACAGAGGTCAGACATTTCTTGTAGTTGGCCACCATGTTTGCACACATCTCAGGAGGGATTTTCCTCATTGCAGATCCTCTCCAAGTCATTAAGGTTTTGAGGCTGACATTTGGCAACTTGAACCTTCAGCTCCCTCCTCAGGTTTTGTATGGGAATAAGGTCTGGAGACTGGCTAGGCCACACCAGGACCTTACTGTGCTTCTTAAACCACCCCTTTGTTGCCTTGGCTGTGTGTTTTGGGTCATTGTCATGCTGGAATACCCGTCTACGACCCATTTTCAATGCCCTGGCTGAGGGAAGGAGGTTCTGACCCAAGATTTGAAGGTACATGGCCCCATCCATCGTTCCTTTGATGCAGTGCAGTTGTCGTGTCCACTTTGCAGAAAAACACCCCCAAAGCATAATGTTTCCACCTCCATGTTTGAGGGTGGGGATGGGGTCCTTGGGGTCATAGGCAGCATTCCTCCTCCAAACAAGGTGAGTTGAGTTGATGCCAAAGAGCTTGATTTTGGTCTCATCTGACCACACTTTCACACAGTTCTTCTCTGAATCATTCAGATGTTAATTGGCAAACTTTAGATGGGCCTGTTCATGTGCTTTCTTGAGCAGGGGGACTGCGGGTGTGGGCACTGCAAGATTTCAGTCCTTCACGGTGTAGTATGTTACCAATTGTTTTCTTGAGGACTATGGTTCCAGCTGCCTTGAGATCATTAACAAGATTCTCCATTGTACTTCTGGGGTGATTCCTCACGGTTCTCATGATCATTGTAACTCCACAAGGTGAGATCTTGCATGCAGCACCAGACCGAGGGAGACTGACAGTTATTTTGTGTTTCTTCCATTTGCGAATAATCGCACCATATGTTGTCACCTTCTCACCAAGCTGCTTGGCAATGGTCTTGTAGCCCATTCCAGCCTTGTGTAGGTCTACAATCTTGTCCCTGACATCCTTGGACAGCTCTTTGGTCCTGGCCATGGTGGAGAGTTTGAAATCTGATTCATTGCTTCTGTGGACAGGTGTCTTATACAGGTAACTGGCTGAGATTAGGAGCACTCCCTTTAAGAGAGTGCTCCTAATCTTAGCTCGTTACCTCTATAAAAAAGACACCTCGCAGCAAGAAAGCTTGCTGATTGATAGGGGATCAAATACTTATTTCACTCATTGACATGCAAATCAATTTATAAACTTTGACACGTATTTTTCTCGATTTTGTTATTCTGTCTCACTGTTAAAATACACCTACCATTAAAATTATAGACTAAACATTTCTTTGTCAGTGGGCAAACGTTCAAAATTAGCAGGGGATCAGATAATCTCCCCCCCCACACCGTAGGTCTTAACATGTTCCCTCAATTTAAAATCTTAGATGTTCAAAGAGAAGGAAAGTTACATCCCTAGCCCATCTACATAAAGAGCAAGTTTTTGTTATCCATTGATAAAGCCTTATACAGGCGAAACGCATTTGGATATTTTTTACTGTTTTATATATTGCTAACAAAAAGATTTTGGTCATTTTTACGTTTAAACCATCATCTTTTTTGTTACCTGGCTATTTTATAAACGTTTTATATACATTTTATACTATATACTTCTTTTATTATTTTTTAAGTCCTGCATATTATACTCCAAGAATCCTAGGTGGGGATCATACCGCCTACGCTGTTACATAGAGCAGTTAGTCTGCCCTATACATTGTGAGTATATTTTATTATTTTATTTTATCATTAAGATTTTATTGAGAGCACTATCGTTGTTTTACCTTCTCTCCGAGCTCCTGATATTCCGGTCAAGATCACTCATCATATATCCTATAAGCGGGATGATACCGCTGTACGCCTAACCAACTAGAGCTAGTCAAAGCTCTACCGAATGTGAGTGTATCTATCATATGTTATATATTTTTTTATATAAGTGTAGAACATACTGCACCATTACTGTTTTTATTTTATTTTTTTCCCAACTTTGGCCACCCGTTACTACAAAGAAGAGGACACCTGCTGTATATCCTGTAAGCGGGGATAATACCGCTGTAAGCTATCCACACCAGAGCTGGATTAAGCTCTGCAAATTGTAAGTAAGATCTCTTCTATTTTTACATATTTGGATTACTCTCCACGACATCGATACCTTCTGGATACCACCAAAAGTAGAACTTTGGACACAATAACATAGATCCTATTGGACTCAATACTCAGTGTACACATTGGCGCAGACCCATCCCCTCATCTTTTCTTGCGTTTACCATTGATTTCCATGGAGACTAGAGGGAGTCCTTGTTTGGGACTGCTGCCTTCCCGATTAGCGCTGACTCTACCCATTGTTCTGTTATATAGAGCAAGAGACCCAACTTTTCTATTTAGCATGCAAATGCCTAAAATCAGATGTATTTTTTGTACACTCACACACTAAGTTTACAATAACCACAATCTAAAAACATCTTGCCCAAAGATCAATCAAATCAAAATCATTGTAGACAATGAATAAAGATACATTAAGATTGTTGCCATAACATAAAAAGTCTAGCAAATCTATTCCGTGTTCCTTTATACAGAGTCATCAATACAGAAGCAAATATGAACACGAACAATCCAATAGTTTGAAGATAAATTGCTTTCTTTGCAGTGTTTGCAGTGGTTAGTGTAAAAGTGATACAATCACATGTCCCATACCGTCACATCTTGCACATTTTTCAGACTGGAAGGGGAAGAGGATGTCATCACCCTGACAAAATTCACATATAAAACCATTGGCTTGGCACAGCTGAAAGAAGAAAAAACAACAAAAAAAACATGCATTTAAAAATACAAGTGCAATACGATAAGGTGAGTTTTTAACATTTAACTGTAGTGAAAATAGAAAAGCATTTTTCCCCCCAAAATTAAGCAAAATAAAAAAAGATATGGAAATATGTCCCACCTAAGCTAGTGTAGTCACATCTTTGCTAGTTATTTCTCATTTCAAAACCAATTTGCTGTTTAGTGAATATTCCCAAATATGCCATTTTAAAATCTGTTGTACAATAAGTAAACACAAGCAAGTAACAAATACTGGGAATGTGCAATAAACCCAGAAGGAAATTAACTCCCAATGTGTGTACAATTAGGTCAAAATAGCTTTATAAATATAACAGTAAACTTTAAAGACAGAAAGAATATATTTAAGGGACATACAGTAAGGCCAAAGAGGCATAGCAAGACTGCTATTGGGGTGCATGGGGGGATGGATTCATTATCTGGCAGATAAGCTTACCAAAGATTTAAGGATTTCCAAACATTTAGAAGAGGGGGGGTGGGGGGGGAGAGGGAGGGAATTGAAATAAACATGAAAAGAATAATTTTACAAAATATGGTTGAGCCTGGGCCATACCTCACAGATCTCCACATGAGCTATGCCACTGGCGAGGATCTGGCGTAAGGCAGGCAAAAGCAAACCCTGCTTTACTTTTATTAGGTCACTTAAAGTAAATTGATGCAGTTCTTCAGTCAGGTGTATTGGCACTTCCTCAAACATCTTTAATACACCAATTCTGTCAGAGAAAAAAAAAAAAAGTCACCATATATCATAAAGCGGCATTAAAAGAAGTCAGATGTAACATGGTTCTAATTGAAATGAAATTAAAAATAAAATCTGTACCTGTCCGCAAATCTACATGTGCGCAGAAATCTTTTTAACTGAATCAACTGTTCTTTGACATCCTGAAAATTAAGAAGAATGGAAATGTTACAGGACAGAAGGAGTGCATGTTAAGCAGCAGGAATGTAATAAAAAGTCAAAGAACAGAAAACTAAATATAAGTTATTATTGTAATTTTGTTTTAGGATTTTTTAAAATTTATTTTGTTCGAGAGAGATATTTTAGATATATTTTATATCTATCTCAAATTATTATGAATATGCAGTAGAGTTGGCAAAAATGCTTCCTCATTAAAAGGGATACTATAGTGCCAGGAATACAAAGCTGTATTCCTGGCACTAATGCTCCCTCCCCCCTCCTTCATGCCTCCCCTCCTTGGTAAATAAAGGGTTAAAAGCCCTTTATTAACTTACCATATCCCAGTGCAGATGTTCCCTTGACTGCCCCCTTGACGAGCAGGCTCTAATGCCGCACGCGCATTAGACCTCCCCATAGGAAAGCATTAAATCAGTGCTTTCCAATGGGGAAAAATCTGACGCTGGATGTCCTCATGCAGAGCATCAGATACCAGACCAAAGGTCCGTTTCAATCCAGGAAGCCCTCTAGTGGGAGACAGCCACTGGATGCAGACTTCGTGCTGCAATGTAAACATTCTGGTTTCTATGGTGCAAAAGGGACAGTGCCCAGACCACTTCAATTTGCTTAAGTGGTCTGGGTGCCTATAGTGTCCCTTTAAATACATTTTATGTGTAGCAGTTGCTATGTAAATATCATCTGCTCATTCATTTAGGATTATTCAAGGAGGTCCATCTTAGAAATTGGGTTAACACCTCTAAGGCTGCCTTTTGCTAAAAATACAAAATTGCCATTTCAAAAATGGTAGATTTAGGAGGTTAGCCCCCAGTGTGCCAATTTCAATTTGTGTAAGGAATTCAAACATATTTGGTGCAAATATGTAAAATAAATTAAAAATATTAAAGAAAATAAATAGGAATTTGTAATTTATAGACCAGATGTAGTAAAAATTGGGTCAGAATCATGGGCATACATCAAACCATGTAGATTTCACATTCATTCATTTTGTCCAGTTTCATGGCATGTACATATATACCATGCAATCGCACAAAGTATACAAAAAGTTTCAGCTTGAATCCAGAACATCCAGTATTACCAGTCTTGAGTCTATATGTGCTACACTGAACAAGGCCATCATGACACGCTGTGTCTGCCATGGACATCACAATGCAGTATGTAATATTTAACCACCCTCCCCGGCCAAAGGGAAAATGCATGTTTATCATAATTTGTGCACATTAAATACACTGTGGTATGTGACATGAAATGCAGTTTATCAATTGGACATTAGATCTGCAGCTTATGCTAGATATGTAGACAAACTAAGTAAATTAATAAAAATCAAGATTTTGTTTACACCTCTATTCCAAAGAGAGACCGACATAGCGTCCTGTACATGTTTTGTGAGAAGTATCGGTGCAATTTGGCTGTCACAGGATATTTCACATATTCATCCAAGCCAGCCGGTTGAAAGAATTGACCTCACCCACAAACAATACAGATTATCCCGTCATGTGCAATAAAACAGCATTTAAAAATCAACAGAAACGATGTGCAAAGTACCAGAAAAACAAAACAACTTGCCTTGACACGGTTCAGCTCTCTCACTTTCCTGTACAAGTCTGGGTTTTCACATTGTACGTTGAATTTGTGGTTTTCCCATATATTTTCCAGCAGATTTTTAGAAAAGTTGCTGACATAATATTTACTAAAGTTCCATTTCAAGATAATCCGAGCAGGAATGGAACTCTCAGCATAGCAGTGACAGCAGTCACAAAAATACTTTCCTAGATAATCACAATACCGCAATCTGTTTGTGTAACCTGAAACGCAAAACAAGCTTTGAGTATTCAGAAATGCAATAGGTGACTGAAGGGACATGGTTTGCTAGAAGTTCAGTTTCATAGTGTCAGAAAGGGGAAAGACTTTAGAATAAGTAGAAAATGTAGAGGTGACTCATTGTGTCTTCACCCAAAATGCTTTGCTGAATAACTTCCGATCTCCGTGAGAATGGAAATATGTAAAAAAGGTAAGGAGTAAAGGAAAGACCAGAAGAATCAAACCTGCCAGAAGGGTTTAAACCAGGTGAATAAAGGTGTAATAGAGATGCTTGCCCATAGATATACAATGCATTCTAGCATCTCGATGAGCAAGTGAAATAGTTTTGAGTTTACTGGAGGAGTATTTGCTGGCCTAACTGTCTTTTCAATACTATAGGTAGTAAGGGACAATGGTTTTATAAAAACAGCTTTTTTGTAAACTTTAATTCCGAATGAGAAAGAAGGGTCTCAAATGACAAGTAATTCTTCGGAAACTAAAATTGTATTAATATTACATATACGTTACAAACTATATAGTTTATTAATGTTACAGAGGGTTTGGTTATTTTTAGTGGGTAGCATCTAGCTAGTAGCAAATCATTAGAAAAGAGCTTCATGTACACAAAAAAAATTTACACACATTCCTGTTATGGATGTAAGGATTATCCATTCTTTTCAAATATTAATTACATTAAAAGTCACTTACTTGGCTCAACTTTTGTTCCACAGCCAGCACACAAATAATTCTGTGATGCCACAACAAAATCCCTCCTGTAAGAAAATATTTCACAGGTTTAGTTCACAGAAAGGCCGTTTCATGTCAGAGGTCACAGCATTCAGTGGCACATTTTTTTCTGAATCTACTCCCAAAACAAGAAAAGGAAGTTGAGCTAGACAACAAAAATCGTAGAATGGATCATGTAGGCTTCCAATGTTTTCAGGACACAATTTATTGATAATTAATGGAGCAGAAAATCATTAACTGGAAAAAAAAAAAAAAAAACACCACCACAACCACACATGTCACACCACCTCCTCCCCTCTCCCTAAAGAATAAAGGCATTTTACAGGCCAGTAAAAGAAAAAGCAAAAACACAACATGGGGAATTTCAGTTACGAGCTTAAAACTTTGTCCTTGATGCCTAACTAGTTTTGTCATGCCTTAAAGTATACATAACAAAATGTTTCACATATTGAAAATGACTTCCTTTAAAGGTAAATAAAAGGTGTAAAATCTTTTAAATGCAGGACCCCGTCCCATATAAAAATAAAGTAGGTGTGGGGAAGGAAATTAAACTGCCCTGCAATCCAATACTGTGACAGACTCCTTGCAAGAGCTGAACTAACTCTGAGATACACAAGACTGATGGATCTCAGACAATCCGATGCACCTCAAAGACAAGCATTGGGGACCTAGAGCACATTCGTAGCAGTCACTGTTCTCTGCCAATCAGATGCTTCTCTATGAGAAGTGTTAACACTGTTGTGCATCATAATGCCATGCTTGGTAACAGACATTAAGACTTTTGAAAGGTCTTCAGTGAAGAAGCTAGTCTAGAACTTTTCATCATGTATTTATTCATTCAGGTTTATCATTCATTAACCATTAGTTTTAGAACTAAAACAAGTTGCTGCCAAGTGTGCAAGTTTTGTTTGGTCAGCTAGTCTGGATAAAAGGAAGTAATTTTGTCAAAAAAAAAAAAAAAAAAAAAATCCGGTTTCCGCTATCAGCACTTTAAAGGGTATACGGGTCAAGAACTGTTAAGGGCAAAGTGCAGAGTATTCTTGAAAGTGCAAAACAAAAAAAAAAACCACACATTTCGTGTCAGACTCGCAGATGAGCCGAATACAAATAAAATATATATTTAAATAAATTAATTGAAAGACATTCTAATAATTTCTACTAAGAAATGTCATGGCATTGGAGTATAAAGTTTCATGGAAATGTAATCCTTATTAATATTTTTTTTTTTTCCCTCGAATGCAATAAAAAAAAAAAATATATATATATAAATAAATAAATTTAAAAAAAAGTTAGATTTTAAAGGAGCTAAATCTCCTCCACATTTACCTTATTCAGGTTTGCAATTTATTTAGTGGTGGATCTTTTTGTTTTGTTTTCTATTCGATATTTAGTCAGTGATCGTGGTGTACAAGAAGTTCCTTTCTAGGGATTTGCAAGTTTTGTTTATTGTATGTATTGGGGCTGTTGTGTACAATAGTCATTGCTGCTGCCCAGGAGTAGTGCAAATTTAAGTGCAGGGCTTATGAGTCCAGTGCCTGGAGTTAAAAGGAGTTTATGGCATAATAAGGAGTGTTTAAGTAAGTGCCGGAGAGGTGGAATGGCCTTTTTAAAAAAAAAAAAGGGTAAACCTTTCCAAAGATTTTTTTAGACTGTCTTTTATTATTTTATTAATATTGCAATGTGTTTTTTTTCCTACAGATGGCCAAGAATGGGGGCATCGCTTCTCCGTTAATAAATAGGCCTATATCCTCAGCCTTCCAGAATTTGGCTTAAAATAAAAGCAGTAAACGGAGGTTTCAGTACGGTTCATATCTGGAACGCTGGCATCATTCATAACAAAACAAATCCATAACACAAAAACAAAGTACTCACTTGATATAGGGATGAATAGTGTTTAGAATTTGAAAGCGAGGGGGACTCCACTCGTTCACTTCTCTCAACTTGAATTTTTTAATTTCCTCTTCCAAATTCAAACTTGACTCAAATTCCTCAGGAATGGTGTCTTTACTCATTAGCGGCTGAATAGAAAACAAACCCACACACAACCATAAGTGCCATAAATGGATTAAATAAATAGTTTTTCCATTAAGCCAAAAAAAATAAAAAATACAATAAAAACTACGACACCTCTGGGAGTATATAGAAATACTGTATTTTCCTTTGCATTGATATGCTACTCTGCTCTAACATCAGAATGCTGACAGTTTAACGTTCAAGATCCATCCGGATTATCTCAGAAGTGCTTCAGGAGCTAAAGTGACCATTGCATTTCCAAAATAGAAAACCACTATCCAGTAGCCGGCACACTTTAAGACTTCTATCTAGCAGAATTTGGAGTGTAGCAACTTTGGCAGGACACCATATGTACAGTATCAGAGCTTCGCTCCGCTCCGTCTTCTTGGCTGAGATCATCCGATTTGACGATCTCAGCCAACCCAACGCTTTCCTACGGGAAACCATTGGATTGGCTGAGACTGTCAATTCTGATGATCTGAGCCATAATGGCAGGGGTGGAGCCAGCACTTGTGAACCTGCGCAGCACTGGAGTAAAGTGGAGTTTTCATGCTTTTTAGAGAGAAGGGTGGTTGGGGGAGGGGACAAAAGAGGGACCAGGAGCCTAAAACTTTTTTTCTATTCCTGAAGCCATAGAATTCCTTTAGTAACTCATCTATCCTCGTCTTCACTGCTTACATACCTTGACTGATAACTGAGCATACCACCTGGTACCACCAAAATCACTGGACATCAAGCTTTCCTTTCACACGAACAAACTGTTCAAAACATATAGAGCTGTTTCAGTGAAGCCATGTCCGGAGGTGAGCCAGCCATTGCCAGAGACTCCGATGAAAATAGGTATGAGGGCCTTATAATCAAAGCTCTGGCCAGAAAGAAGAGGGGTGGAGGGAAGGCTTTGGGTGCAAAACTACACAACAGAAGTAAAATGTATCTGCTAGAACATACTCTCTTAATACAGTGATTAGGTGAGGCAGCATCTGGAGTGTCCTCTTCTATTTGTTGCCATTGCCGTCTCAATACTCTGTACAGCTTCTTGGCAGTTTGTTGAGCAGAGTTAAAACCGGGTTCAGGGCTGGAATTAAAAGGGAAGTTTTAAGTTTGGAATCAATTGCTAACAGAAAAATAAATAACTAAATAAATAAATAGCATGGCGTACTTCTCTGGTGTGTTATCATGGAGTTTGGAAGCAGGTGTGCAGAGTTTCTCATAGTCCTCCAACTCTGGAAAATATAAAAAAGTCATTAATTTATAGCTAAACGCAGCAATCACACCTGACAGCAATTTGCATTACAATAAGTTGCTTTTAAAAAAAACAAACCAAACAAACAAACAGTCAATATACAAAACTTGGATTACAGCTCAATACAAAAAAAACCCCACAAATAATACAGGGAGTGCAGAATTATTAGGCAAGTTGTATTTTTGAGGATTAATTTTATTATTGAACAACAACCATGTTCTCAATGAACCCAAAAAACTCATTAATATCAAAGCTGAATATTTTTGGAAGTAGTTTTTAGTTTGTTTTTAGTTATAGCTATGTTAGGGGGATATCTGTGTGTGCAGGTGACTATTACTGTGCATAATTATTAGGCAACTTAACAAAAAACAAATATATACCCATTTCAATTATTTATTATTACCAGTGAAACCAATATAACATCTCAACATTCACAAATATACATTTCTGACATTCAAAAACAAAACAAAAACAAATCAGTGACCAATATAGCCACCTTTCTTTGCAAGGACACTCAAAAGCCTGCCATCCATGGATTCTGTCAGTGTTTTGATCTGTTCACCATCAACATTGCGTGCAGCAGCAACCACAGCCTCCCAGACACTGTTCAGAGAGGTGTACTGTTTTCCCTCCTTGTAAATCTCACATTTGATGATGGACCACAGGTTCTCAATGGGGTTCAGATCAGGTGAACAAGGAGGCCATGTCATTAGATTTTCTTCTTTTATACCCTTTCTTGCCAGCCACGCTGTGGAGTACTTGGACGCGTGTGATTTGTCCTGCATGAAAATCATGTTTTTCTTGAAGGATGCAGACTTCTTCCTGTACCACTGCTTGAAGAAGGTGTCTTCCAGGAACTGGCAGTAGGACTGGGAGTTGAGCTTGACTCCATCCTCAACCCGAAAAGGCCCCACAAGCTCATCTTTGATGATACCAGCCCAAACCAGTACTCCACCTCCACCTTGCTGGCGTCTGAGTCGGACTGGAGCTCTCTGCCCTTTACCAATCCAGCCACGGGCCCATCCATCTGGCCCATCAAGACTCACTCTCATTTCATCAGTCCATAAAACCTTAGAAAAATCAGTCTTGAGATATTTCTTGGCCCAGTCTTGACGTTTCAGCTTGTGTGTCTTGTTCAGTGGTGGTCGTCTTTCAGCCTTTCTTACCTTGGCCATGTCTCTGAGTATTGCACACCTTGTGCTTTTGGGCACTCCAGTGATGTTGCAGCTCTGAAATATGGCCAAACTGGTGGCAAGTGGCATCGTGGCAGCTGCACGCTTGACTTTTCTCAGTTCATGGGCAGTTATTTTGCGCCTTGGTTTTTCCACACGCTTCTTGCGACCCTGTTGACTATTTTGAATGAAACGCTTGATTGTTCGATGATCACGCTTCAGAAGCTTTGCAATTTTAAGAGTGCTGCATCCCTCTGCAAGATATCTCACTATTTTTGACTTTTCTGAGCCTGTCAAGTCCTTCTTTTGACCCATTTTGCCAAAGGAAAGGAAGTTGCCTAATAATTATGCACACCTGATATAGGGTGTTGATGTCATTAGACCACACCCCTTCTCATTACAGAGATGCACATCACCTAATATGCTTAATTGGTAGTAGGCTTTCGAGCCTATACAGCTTGGAGTAAGACAACATGCATAAAGAGGATGATGTGGTCAAAATACTAATTTGCCTAATAATTCTGCACTCCCTGTAGTGTAATATTGCCTTAATTAGCATGGCACTAAAGCAATATACTATTGTATTGTTTTTTGAGGTTTTTTTTATATTTAGCTGTAACCCTATTGTACATTAAAGTGTTATGGCTAGAGACTAAGCGTAAGTTTCCAGAATAACTGGCACAACCATCACAACTTCTAAGCCAACAATTGTTTTAATTAAATTGCTGTAAAATTCAGGCTGGGGAAATAATTTGTATTACAGTATTTTAAAAACCAACAGGAACCCATCAGGCAATTGCTGGCAGAGTTGATGTCCTATTATGGCAGTGCTTCTTTTTTTTGTTTTGTGAAACATTTAATACCTCTGCTAGCAGGACGATAAAATTAATATTGCTGAAAAAAATAAATAAAATTAAAAAAAGCTCCCTTCTGCTAAAGATTTTTTCTTCAAAAATGGTTCTGACTAAAATATTTTGCAAGTGGCAGATAAAAAAAAAAATCATTAATATCTCACAAACTACTAGATATATATGAATAATATTTATATTTATATATTTTCCAATCTTCCTTCACTAATTGTGCAATTCATATACATTCCATTCATTAAACGCCACTACACTCATACATTGTTCACGCTATTAATTCTACTAAATGCAGAAGGTAGTCTACACAAAGATTTTTTTTTCTCCCATTAGAATTTATTTTTAGGTTGTTTTTTTTTTTTAATATACACACATATTATATCTGTGTGGCACACGAACGCCAAACTTTTGGAGTCTCTGTCGTATGGAAGGACCTTCTTCGGCGGATCAAGGCTTGATAAAGACACTGTCAAAATGTTGCCAGATCCAGTTTGAAGGCTGAATAAAACTACAGTTATATCACAAACTGTGTGTACGGAGGATAATATAATACAAAATTATACAAGTCATATTGCAAGATACCAGTACTCCAGGAATTCCAACAATTCTTCTTTATTTAGTTTAAAAATCGAAGTGTCACTTGACAACTGAATAAAGAAGACATTTTGGAATCCCATAGTTGCTGAGCACCAGGTAATAAACTATATATTTAAGTTGGAGGCAAAGCTATAGGAAATATGTGAATATAGATTGTGAAGTTGTAAACACACACAAACACACACGATGGGTTAAATATTTTAAAATGATAAATAAAATAAGTTACCAATAATTACAAATTCATCATCATAATCTTCACAGGGTTCATCACTCTTTGAGATCTCTGTTTTTTCTTCTAAAATGGGAGTTGCAGGAAGAGAACTCTGTTGTGCTGCAGAAAATTTTTAAAAGAAATTATATATAAAAAAAATATTTGCAAAATAAAGCAGCTACTAAAACTACAGAAGCATTTAAAATAGTTTATTTTCATGTACATTATCTACTGAAGCCATTTACAATACATATTAAAAGTCATCTAAACATGTCAGCATGTATAGCAATTGTCAATCGAAAACAAATATGATCAGCTTATGGTTGCTCTATTTCCTAGAAAATTGAAAACAAACAAACAAACAAAAACACACACAAGCTCTGTTGCTTTGACCCAATTAATTCTCTATATTTCCCAGCTAATTAAATAGCAATTACTCTTCAAACAGGATTTTAGAGCACACTCTTTGTATTGAAAATACATTAGAAAAAAATAAATAAAAATGAATTTACCTCCATAGCCACTGTCAATGGAGATTGTAGATTCGGAGTTACATTTTTTCCTGTGAAAGCAAATGTCTTTGGGTTTTTTTGTAATCCAGTATGGAGCTTGGCTGCTAGCTACTTTCCACTGCTCGTATGCCAAATTGCTTTTAATCTTTTCAACTGCAGCTATAAACATATCTGCCACCAAGAAGTGTTCATTTTCCTTAGAGGAGAGAAACAAAAGAAATGTAGGAGGTTTCATTTGATAGACAATGTTCTAAGTGATTCTTTATAAATCACAAGTAGCATCTGTTTCTGCAAGTGCCACTACAGTATGTGGAATATCTGAATGTCTTGTAGAATGGCTAGTGTAAAATATTCACTGAAGTCAACCAGTGACAACCCTACCTGGGACACTGGATAAATTGGTACACAACAGAAGAAGCACATTTCATTACATTGAAAATGTTATTTTGTGTGTTATAGTATCCAGCAAGGCTATATACAAAGCCCTGATCTACTTTGGAAGAGAGTGTAAGACTTTTCCCTGCACACCACGTTTCAAAAACACATATGCCTTCCAAGAAAAAGAAAGTGGTTGATAACCGCCAAGATAAATGATTTCTTTATCAAAAATCACATGGGACAATTGTATGGGCTTTAATCTTACCAAGTACCAGTTATGATAAATTATAAAAGGGCACAAGAAAAGCAGAGAGGGAACACAAAAATCTGTTTAAATATTGAAAAAAAAAAAAAAAAAGAAGAACGCTGGACACATGAAAAGTTATTTGCAGTCTTTGTTGGGGGTATGGTACACTTGACTTTAATCTCTTTCATGAGAAAATCATACCATTTTTAATACTAGTCAATAATGGTTTGCTAATGGTTCCTTACATTCTCCAAATTCACAGTTGGTTCAAATACATTTTCTGTTAAGGGATGTAACGTCTCCGCTCTTGAAGCCAAGATCTGATTTGAAGCTGTTTAGAAAAAAAAAAAAAAAAGTATATACACCAGTAGTTAACATGCAAGAGTATACATGAAGGAAAGAATAAAATGTAGCATATATGAATATATCATCAATACATCTAAGGTTATAAACACTTAAAAGAGAAAGATTTATACACACACACACACCAACAAAAAAATATTATATCACACAAGATTATCAAGAAGAAAAGAAAAGAAGGGAAAAGGGTAGAATGCATTTGTACAGTTTAGAAGATTGATCTGTGACTCAATGGGGGTGGGGGAGGCGAGAAAAAACCCCCAAAACAAATGAAGGTGTAAACCCCAAAACTGTGATACTCTTAAATACCTGTGAGAATACTGGAATAGGATTGTGATCTCCGATGGGATAGTTTGTGATCTTCGACATCACATTTCTCTAGTTCTTCCGTTTTGTTATTTATTGGCATAGAGTATAAATCAAAAGTCAAATTCAGAGTGCTTTGATCAAGATTAGGAATAGGACTTGAAAGATTAGGTGAGGAAAACCTCCGATTCTCCCATTGTATACCCATCTGAAGTGGAACATTCATTTGTGATGGAAAGCTTTCTTCGGCCAACTGGAAAGTTGTGCAAGCCCCACATTTAGGTAAAGTAGAAATCTCTTGTTCGGTTACATCATTTTGAAGACTTAGAATGGGAACTCGAGGTGAAAGAGGAAGTAATTCCAAGGTGGAAGACGTCGGAGAGTCCATTTGTGAATTATCCCAGCATGCTGTGGGCCTGTTAAACCGAATGTCATCTAAAGGCCCAGAGATTATTCGAACACAGCTAGAACTGTCCGTATCAGAATCACCATTACTGCTGCTATCCAAATTATCTAGATCACTGTCTTGAAATTCCATATTGGTGGATAATTTGGATTTCATGTTACTCGGAAGGTTTAAGACAGAAGCAAGAATTTCTTTGATAGCTGTGGCACTGCTTGCATGTAACCCACGACAACCATCTAAACCAATTACAGCTGGCCTTGGTAACTCATCTGCAAGTAAGAGAATAAATAAAAGATTTTAGAGGTCAAGAAAACGACTACGGAAGGAACATAAAAGCATTTAAAATACACATAATGCCATTTTTTGAATTTATATTAAATAAAAACAGACTTGCCTTCTGGAAAAAGAACAGGTTGGGTCCTTGGCATCATGTTTATAGGATTTGAGACAGCCATGGCTTTTGTTTGGGGTATAATGAATAATATGGTTGATCACCTGTAAAGAAAAAGCCATGTCAAGTCTAAATACATTAAATTAAAAAAACAAACAAAAAAAACAAACAAACCACAAAGCAATACAAAAAAGTAATGATACTTTTTCTTTATATAAAGGGTTAGTAGACCCATAAATGGTTTACATTGCAAGAGATATAGAGTTAAAAAAAAAAAAGGAAAGAAAAAGAAGAAGGACAGGTCTTAATCTTCCATGCATAAACACCAAAATTATTCAGACTTCTAAAGATAATGGGTTTTGGGGATTAACCCAGCTTAAAAAAGGTACAGAAAACTCTTTAAAACAAATACACAAACTAAAATAAATCCAGCAAAACTTTGAAAAGTATGTAACAAAAATCTTTTATAAACTTGGTTGGATTACATTATTGAGCACACCGCTCAGCTAGGCTAGGAGTATTTATCTATCTCAGTTTCAGACCACGAATGACAGAAACAGGGCATTATCATGCCGAAACTCAACAACATATCAGCTCTGCATGATCAGACTCATTCGCTTTCCCACCCCGTTCAGATGTTGCAAGGTGAAGAGCTCTTCCAACTGCACATGACTAAATCCGTCAAGCATGCCTAATGCACTTTTCCCGCATTCCTAGGGATAGGGAACTAAATTTGAGTGTCTCTTCCCTCCTCCCCGAGTGGGTGTGGAATGTAGATGCAGTTAAATATGAAATATAGATCATATCTCCCTGCAGATTAAGGTAACTGTCTATTTCAGTGCTAAAGCTTTTGAATGAGAGTTGTCTCCAAGTAATGCATGCCCATTTAATAAGATTAACTTGGCTCATATAAAAATTACAAACAATTTTGAGCATTACAAAATATTCTAAACAGCGTGGCCACAAACAGCTTCGAAAACACGTCTTTCAAGATTCACACTGTCAGTCTACTATATAATAAATCATTATTTTCAAATCACCCACATAGAGTAGAGAATGACATTTAGAGGACAATGGGAGACATTTGATGACAAACAGAGTTGTATAGATCAGTACGTTTTAAATGGTTCTCTACAAACCAGCTCCAAATACAGCAAGGTTTGAGCCACAAAAAGCCCTGATAAATCCAGCACAGAAAAGGATACTCCAGGCTAGAGTGGACTTTCTTTTCTTTTTTTTGCGATGATAAGATAACAAAAATGCAAACTTCCTTGAATGTCCCAGCAAAACCATGGGGGTCCACAGAAACAAAAGAAGTGGTAATACTCACCTAACACCTTCCAGCAAAATTGAACAACTACTTACATTATATTCAGTCCCTTAAAACAGTTATTTTATTTGACTCCAAACTTCAGCAGTTCTGATTGCCAAATCTGGACCAGTTTTATTTTCGCAATACGATACAAGAACACTTTTGGAAATTTTAGAGAAGTGCTGTAAATTTGCATGACAGACCAAATCTAAAAGGAAACAAAGTGCAGTTTGCAACATTCCTCTCTTCAAAAACAGCAAGCACAGAATCACTCAGTTTATGAGATCATAGGGCACATCAGTTACACACACTTTCCTAGTTAAAGGAACACAGGCACTATAACCAACTCATCTCATTAAATTGGTTATAGTCCCCTGGGACCCGGCACTGTTGCTCCATTCAGTGCTAAACCATTTTCAAACAATGAATGAGGCTCCCTGGCCCACAGCAATGCCCTGCCATGGGTATTATGGCTAAGACAGATTTCACTCTTCCTTAGCCATACCAGCAATGGGTGCTTTGAGAGGGTGAATGAGGTCAGGCTGATGCTCTCAGCCATTCTGAGTGTAATTATTCAATAAAGGTTACAGCAAGTTCCATGTGTGCATAACCCTGATAGGGGGGGGGGGGTGTAGCACAACTTTTCAAAATACCCATAAACATCAGTTTTAAGAATATCCATCAGAACCAGAATATGATTTTCTTTGGTCCCTACACAGATACAGTAGCCAATATGATTAATTGAAATAAAGAATTTAACCATATTGTTATCTTTGCAATCATGTGACTAGCTTCTTACTTGTAAAAAGTAATTATGGAACTTTTATTTAAAAAAAAAAAAAAAAAATAAGTCAGCATTTTTTTAGATTACAAAGGGAAAAAAATAGCAGTTTGTGACATGAGTAAAACAATGCAGAGTGTTGACTACTGATAAGTTTTCTACGTTGTTATCCTGAATGTATCGAGCTGGGTGACATCAGCTCACATGACAGGAGGAAGCAAGCGGTCATGTACCAGACAGATCTCTCTGCAGCAGGTTATCATTATTAAAAAAATAAAAAGGCATTTCAGGGTCACTGCTTCTATTTTTAGTTATTTCATCAGATTGTCAGGCAAAAGAAATAACAAAACAAAACTGTATTGGTGATACTTTCCATCTAGAGAGAGTTTCAATGAAACTGTACAACCATAATGCAAGTGATTACAAATATAAATCTATTTAACTATATAGCACTATGTACTAATATGCAACCTGATAAGCAAAAGACAAAAACTATCCTTTATTGAATTAAAATTATTGTTTTTATTATTATTATTATTATTATTCATATTATGGGGAGCTATCAGAATGAGGAGGTCTAGAATACAAATAGAAAAATGAACCCACAAATAAAAAGGCCAGCTTAAAAAATAATTCAGAGACATTTAAACATGTTTTATTTAAATCTTAGTAAGTGGAACCCCCAGGGTATGTGCGTGAATAGAAAAGGCAAAGAATTGTACATCAATACGTTGTTATTTTAATATGTTAAAAGGGCTACTATAAACACCATGACCACGTCAGTGTTTCAGCTGAGTTATTGCCAATTGTGTGCTGGGGGCTAGTTGCACCACCAGCACATGTGACATTGGCAGCCCTGAACTCTGTTCCAGCCTGCCTAATGTCAATTCACTGTAGGTGCTCCCTTCATTGCTCATTTGTTTTTATTTAAAAACAAACAAACAAAAAAAAAAAACCCTCCCTCAGCCTGAAGCGCGTGCATGCACTCTGAGCCAGCTAAATGGTCCAATCATAGGCTTCTTTATAAGAAGCCTGTGGCCTCAGTTACTTTTTTGCAGGTTTCACAGCTTATTGAGACCTTTTCCACAGTGCCCAAAAGGGCATTTTTCACTGGAAAGGTTCCAACCCTTTAAATATTCTGATCTTCTCATACTGTATATAGTTAGTCAAGGCTGTGTGTTTGTTGTCTGGGTTGTAAAGCAGTTCAAAGCAGAAAACAGAATATATGAAAACTTAGTGGGAAGCACAACAAACGAAACTGTGGTAAAAAGAGAAGTTAATATTTAGGTCACAACAGAAATGTAGACTTAACTTAAAGAGGAACTGTCACATGAAGAAAAAATAAAAAAATAAACTTGGAAAATTACCTATAACTTAATATAAATTTATATTAAGATAATGCCAATCTATCTCAAACAAGGCAAACAATATAAATTAAGATAAATAGGAACATTGTTTAATTTCTACTCTTCGCTGTATGTTTTCTCTATACTGACTGGCAGGTGCAAAGGACAGAGCTTAGAATAATGATTGACGGTGAGATAGGATGGAGGCGCCCAGATGCAGGAAAAAGAACTGTGGATTTCTAAATTTTTATCATACACTGCTTCTGCACTCAAAATAATCATTCAGCGATGGTGCAAGATGTTACATGCTTCTGTCACCTAACATTCATTCTCTGGTCTCTGAGTCAATCGTAAACAAAACATACCTGATTTCGGCAGGACAGTCCAGATTTTAGGATCCTGTCCCTTTTGAGGACACCTCGGAACGGTCATTAAAAGATGTAGCACAAGCACATCATTAGACCTGCACTCAGTTTTGCCCCTTTGAACTTGGGAACTTGTGCTCTGCCCAGTAGACCAATAAACGAAGCTCTGCACAACAGTGGGTTTTGTATCTGCATGACAGCCCTGGAGTAAGTTGTTAGACAGTATATTTGGAATGGTTAACTTGAAAGTTGTGGTCAGAATAAAAATGTGTCCACTTTTCCATCCCTATAGAATGTCTAATTATTTGGTTGGTACTTTGAGTGAATGTAAGAGTAACTGCCTTATTAATGTTAGAAAAGGGTATGGATATGTATGTAACATCCCCTCCCCCCCCCCCAGGTCTAAGATACATATCCATACCCTTTTCTAACATTAATAAGGCAGTTACTCTTATATTGCTGAAACTTGTACTCTACTAGTAGCAATTAGCAGTACATCAAATCGAGGGAAAGATAAACACTAGATAAAGACAGGATTCCTAGAATACAGCAGTAAAAGCAGTATTCTAGAAACCATTTCATTTACGTGTTTAAACATTCCCACACCAATAAAACCCAAGTAATACACAGATTATATACCAATACAGATAAGATATAGAATAGTACAACATGTGAAAATTAAGTCAAATGGTCACAGAAACTGACAGCATATTATCTTTTTTTGAAGTCCCAGATGGCATTAATTTTCTTTGAATACACCGTTTCATTTGAACAATTATGTTAGTGTAGGTCATATCACAGTCAGTCTAGTGAAAGCTATACTCCAAGCACCAGAAGCTATAGTTATAGCTTCAGCACCCTTACTGTGCAGTGACACTTACTGTCTGCCCAACACCCCTCCAACCAGGAGATCAAGAATATAAAAAGGAGCAGAATTATTGGGGACAACGGAAAACAGCGAGAATTGAAACTAACCCCAATCTCAGGTAAACCAGGGCATGTATGTCCCCATGAGATTCAGGACCCTGCATGACACAGCACAAAAAAGTTATTTTATTGTAACCATGCAGTACAAGTTGTGGAAACAAGATCTGCATGTTAAAAAAAAAAAAAAAAAAAAAATCAATAATACAATTCTACACAGGAATTGCTGTATCTCTTTTGCAGAGGGAACTTGCTGGCTCTCTGTTATTCCAGAACTGGACTAGACCTGAATAGAAACATATTGATTGGCAAAAATGTGTTGCCTTTTGAATTTTGTAAATTAAGTTTAAACTTGAAGGACTGACTAAATTACTGTATAAATAGGGCAAATGACTTGGATGTAAAACCATTTACTCAGGTAAACCGCAGAATTGTCTGAGTCAAGGGTGGGGTAGCCGAGTCAGGCAAAATATATCTAAAAGAGTGTAAGCCAATTATAGATTATTAACAGCAATGTAGTCAGACAACATTTCAAAAGGTGCTGCACACAAAAAGAAAAATAAAGAGTTTTACCCACAAGAAATATGTAAACTCAGCTCTATGTTTACTGTGAGCCTAACAAGGCATTTATATAATAATTTGTGTGTATGAGAAAATGTGTGCAAGTGTGTCAGTTGGATATGTGGGTCTGTGAGTATGTAAGTGTGTGCGACGCTCTGTGAATGTGTGTGCCTGAGTGTTAGTGAAATTGTGTGTGTGCAAATGGTTCTGTGTGTCAGTATGTATAAGTGAGGGCATGTGTCTGTCAGTCAAAGTGCGTGTTGGTCTTAAACAGGAAGAGGTGTGGCAAGTTTAGATTCTATCTTCCGCAACGCAATTTTGATTAGAATTTCTTGTAGATTTACATGACGCCATAGGTTAGGGGACCCGCAGATAGGTCAAGAGACACAGAAAGAAGCCAGACTGCTGTAACCACCTGACCCGAGGATAACCCACACAGTCAATTCAGATAAAAACAGCAGTGTTCCTTAGATGTAACCTAGACTGGTACCAGCACAGGACAGGCCCTACTCACATCAGCCACCTAGTTAAACAGATAACGGCTCAACTGACACAAAGGCAGCGCGAGTAGTAGAGTACCACTGACACACGTCTATGGGACCAACCCGATGTTATTTTTCAACATATTGTGCAGCCAATACCTTAGTCATATCATGTTTAACCATTGAATTTATTGCCATGGTATTGCAAATTTGAACATGTTGTTATGCACAGCAAAAATAAAGAATTTAAAAAAAAAAATTATGATAAAATTGCTGTATGTGTTCATGACCTGTGAGCTAAGCAGAGCGATAACATCTCGTGGTGACAGCTCACCTCCAAAGTTGCCGAAAAGTAAAAAAAAAAAAAAAGGACTCTACGCATCATAGCCATTACAGCCCACTGTACATTTTAGGATTCAATGAATGCCGTGGCCTGTTTCCCCAGTAATGAGACAAGCCTTTTGGTAACAACTTGCCCACTTACCTGGGAGACTTCTAGGATGCGATGCACTTTCCGTTTCTGAATATGCCAATCTAGTCATCATTTCTTTATGGAGAGCATCAACAGATTGTTCTCAGCCAATAAATGGCATATTACGCATCAAAACTTGTACATTATGGTTTTATATAGGGACAACAAATTCCGCAGGGCTTTACAGTGGGTGGACGAACAAACATGTAGTTGTAACCAGACAAGTTGGACACACAGGAACAGAGGGGTTGAGGGCCCTGCTCAATGAGCTTACATTCTAGAGAGAGTGGGGTAAAGTGACACAAAAAGGTAAGGGTAGTATTAGACTAATGACAGTTGCAAGAGAGGAATCAGTCAGGAGCTATTAATAGCTTAATTGATACGCTTTTATGAAGAAGTAGGTTTTTAATGATTTTTTTTGTACATAAATAATAGCCAGTCTGGCAGACTAATGACACCCCAAGGAAGCTGCCAGAGGTGGCGTTTCATATTGAAATGCTGCACATACAAACTCCTTCCTTCCAATTACTTGGTCAAGGTGGTTAAAACAAACACACACACACACACACACACACACAAACCTTTAACCCCTTAAGGACACATGACATGTGTGACATGTCATGATTCCCTTTTATTCCAGAAGTTTGGTCCTTAAGGGGTTAAACACAGCAAGTAATGTCGTATGGGGGAAAGTGGGAGGAATGCATGTTTAACAGAGCAAGTGACCTAGAATTGAGGGCTTCACTGATACAAAGTCATTGATTTTTAAGTAGAGTTTGAACGGAAACACTGCATACACAGAATGCATGCACCAGATATAGTCATGGTGGTTTTGTAGTTGGTACCGGATTTGCAATAGTGACCTGCTAGTTGGAGGAGGAATGTAATGTTTTAAAAAGTTACATGTTTAAAGGTTTTGTGGATTAGAAGAGAATGCCAGCAAAACCACACATTAAAAGAATATATCATCATTAATAATACATTTTTATAAAAATATGAGCATGGGGAAAAAAAATTTAAATAAAAAACACACACACACACACACACACACACACACACACACACTACTACTACTTTAAAACATCAGGCATAAATATTTATTTTCACCACCCAAGGCTGCGCCCTTAAAAAATATCCATAGATTTAAATAAATATACGATTGTGTCTTAAAACTTTCAACTTCCAACATGGAAACCAAATTAACAATATGAAACATTGTACTAGTCTTCATGGTGACTGCTCCACGTTTAGAACTACAGTTTGTTTTTTTACTCTAAAAGCATGAATGCACAGAACTCACACCAACTACTCCCTCCATCCCTTTGTAATGCACATACGGTTTTAGTTAGGCTGTAGCTTAGAGGTCTTGTGACTGGGGGGTCTGCGAGCTCGGGATATCTTTTCTAGAATACTCTGCAGGCAGACAATAATGAATGAATGCTCTTTGTCAATGAATCCTCGGATCAATGGGAGGTGAGGGGGAAGCTGTAAATTAGAGCAGAGGACCCTTTCTGCCAATAGGATATCCTGTGTTTAAAAATAGGATGACTTGAAGTGAATTTATGGGGATTTAATGCTCAGATCGATTCGTTTTTAGATTAGGATTTAAGATCTCATTCTAAAATTCTAATAAACATGCATTTCCTTTGGTAGTCTCTTTTACCAATGTGAGTTCCCAATAATAAATCACACACAGAACCCTATTGGAACAATGATCAGGTTGCAATGACTAAACTTGGTTTAGAAGTTTCTAAGGAACAGAATCTTCCCAACCCCCTACAGCTTTAAGCTGTGTGCATCTATGTGGCTAACCCAAAACATAGCAGCAATTCAACACTTCCCCCAAAGGAGACAAGAAAATAAAACAGCTCTTCCTGCTAAACAGCAACACATGCACTCTACTATATCAGCTAGCAATCTACCCAGGATACAAGGGGTGCATGAGAGGGCATGGGACTCAACAAAGGTCAATTGGGAGGGCGCCATAAATAACCAGGAAACCTGCTGTGCTAACCTCTTGTACTATACAGCTGGCCACAAGGAAGGATAAAGGGGACAGTAGTCACTACCAGTTTATTAGCTCATTAGATATATTAAAAAAAAAAAATAAAAAAAAAAAGAGGGTGGGGAGGAGGAGAAGGTGGTAAACATTTTTGAGAGCATATTAATACCACTTCACATAGAAATGTCCCTGATGGTATACATTTTGCATACTAAAACGTAGGCTCAGTCAGTAAATACAGTGACTTTAATGCCTCTTTAAATAGACACATTTGCAAAGTTTTTAGAGGAAAACAGGCTACAGAAACACCTCACACTCCTTAAGAAACTACAAAAGCGATCTGTCACTCAAGAATAAACCACATTTATTTGCATGAGCGTGTGCAGTTACTATAGATATGATACACAGAGACTGCAAAATGCCAAACACAACAGTAACACAAAAAACAAAAAACAAAAAGAATGTACAGAAAAATAAATAAATACACAGCGCTACTGAATAGGTTGGCGTTTAACCAAATAATAATAAAAGATTAAGGTCACGGGAGATCCAGGAAGATGAGGGGTTGGAGCAGAACAAAGCAAGTCCAGCGAGCAGCTTACCTTCCTTCGCCAGTACTGCTCCAGGTAGCAGCTCTCAGCTTATCTATGGAACCCACACACATAGATTGGAATGTTACCGCTGATCACATTCTATCAGAACCAACTGCTTGAACCCCACCGATAGCGCCTACGAGCAACTTCTATCCTTGTTCATTTAACTCATTACTACTATGCCATGATATCCCCGCCCCCAAGCCGGACTGAACCACCCTTGCCCCTCTCCCCTAACCGACACGCCCACTATCTGCTTCAAAGGAATGGGGGGCGGGGGGAGCATGGAGACAGAAGGCTCATCAGCTGCTGGGTGGAGGTGGGATTAAAGGAGGCTGCTCATTACAGATAGGCTCTGACAGTGTATACAGCAGCTGCTGCTGAGTCCGCATGTGTGTATTGGCCATGCAGGTAATGTTTGTTTTTATAATGTGTGCAAAGGTCAGGATTATATAGTGATTCAAATCAAATCACGTTGTTCCACTATCATGTTTTTGGCAGTGTTTGGCATGCTGGTTAATACATCAGAAATGATGGCTAATAGACATACTATTATTTTGAATACTAACATAATTATTTCATTGTGTAACACTGATTTACTTATGCCCACAAATGTATTAGGTAGATGTTTTTCAAATGGGCAGGTTCTACATAGAAACATTTGCAAAAAAAGAAATCATTTAAAAACAACCAAATGGCCTGCATTATTTGATTTTAATAGGTTTTTGAGAAGCAAACTCTCTTTTCTAGGGACAAACTATTTCGAGCTATTTTCTTTCACTCATTCATCGGAAATAGTAAAATAAAACCTATATTTGGTCTTAATAAATGCTAGACTGTGCAAAGCTTCTAAAAGAATTTAGAAAATGCTGGTAAAAATGGAACTCACAAATGTGAGTGAAGAATATTTAATAACATTGAAAGTTTAATCAAGAAAAAAAATTGTTATAGATAAAACGCACCCGCTTAAAATCAGTACAACCACAATTATTTAATTAAAATAGTGTGGTGTGTAATTATTTGTTATACAAAAACTGTACAATAGGTACAAGGATAATTCCTTTATTACCAATTAAGGTACACATAAGCAAGTGTTGATTGGAAACTTGCTCAAACAAGTTTATAATAAAAGGAAGTGAGGAACAATGACACAAATTGTAATTAGCATTGTATCCAGAATATACACTTTAAGATAAGAAGCCTGCAATAGATAATAGGAATTCTAAGAGGTGAAAACTGGGTCAGACTAAAAGGTGTTTACATCTGCATGGTTTTATAATTTATTAACCTATTCAAAAATTAACACAAAGGCATGTATAATTTTCACCTCTGTAGTTTCATCAAGATGCAGTGAATTACTTAATTTAATTTTGTTTCACTTCTGTTAGTTGCTCATTAATTCTCCAAACACAATCTAAAATAATTCAGACCTTTTTAGGGACATTTTCAAAACTATCTACAACAACATGGGGCGAAGATGGATCCAGAGAGCAATGTCTATTCCTGTCTAGATTTGTGGTGCTCTGGGAAGCCCCCCACCTTTTAGGTTCCTTGTTGTGTGTTCATATTAGATCTAGCAGTAGCGCATGGCATTTATTATTAATCTTATTATGAGCATTTATACAGCACCGACTGGGCCGATAGCTCCTTGCAGTTTTATGGGTATAAACAGGAAATAACACTAATCCTCTTGTTCTTCTATTAACAAGAAATTGAGAGAAGGCAGAGACACATAGTGGCAGAACTACTGCCGGTGCAGCCGGCACACTTAAGGGGTCCATTGGGGACCCATGCACTTAGGGCCAGCTGATGGCAAAATCATTTTAGTGGCCTGGTCATGCACTACAGCCCTTTAACAGCTTGACCAGGTCCCTGTAATCTTGGCAACGCTGGGAGAAAGTGAGAAACAGTCACTTCCTCCCAGATAAAACAGAGCCACACAGGAAGAAAAGGCAAAGAGTAGGGGGCTCAAAGTGGGAGAGCCTCAGCCAGCCGACTGGAACAGAGGGAAGCCACTCTTCTGCACTCATAAGGTTGGAAACCGGAAGATGGCTTAAACTGTGTACGTTCTGCATGTGTGTATCTGTCTGTATATCTGTGTGTCAATGTGTGCCCCTGTGTATCCGTATGTGTGTCAGCTGTATCTGTCTGAGTGTTAGTGTGTGTGTGTGTGTGTGTGTGTGTGTGTGTGTGTGTGTGTGTGTATATCTGGATATCTGTTCCTGTGTATCTGTGTGTGCCTGTATTTGGATGTGTGTGTGTGTGTGTGTGTGTATATGTGCATACATCTCAGCATTCCAACTCCTAACACTGAACACAAATACACATTTAAACATCAACACTGCAAATAGACACATACTTACATTCAATGGCAAACTCTACACACAAGTAAACCACTGCTTTCAAATGGAAACCGTACTTAAAAACACATTACACACAAATACACCCCTACATTCACACACACTTAATACAAAAACTTTCAAATGTGCAAACACTTCTCAGTGCTAAATACAACCCTGCAAGGATGGGGAAGTGGTAGATGCCTGTCACGGTTCTCACTGTGCCATCCAAACAGGGTCACCCCAGATGGGGCCAACAGAGGATTTTTAACCTGGGCCTTCTGCATCCTAAGTCTGAGTTCTTGCCTCTGAGCCACTTCTGAACTTTGGTCTAACCTTGTTTTCCTGATATTGTCTGTAATACTAGGGGGCTGGACATCACCAGTGGCTCCTACCTGTCCATTTAAGTTCACCTGAGGCAGTTCACTCATTAGCTGGGTATAAAACACTGCCCCTCCCTGAGGACATTGCCAGTTCGTTGTTTCTTGTATCCTGTTTCCTAAGCCTGACTTGGTTTGTGACCCTTTCTGTTTGGATTATTCGTTATTGCCTGTTCGCTGCCTGCCCTGACTTTTGAAACAGTGTCTGACTACTCTTCTGGATTTCCCCTTGTCTGTTTCCTCGTGCCTGGTTACTGTTCCTGCCTATGCCCTTGTGCCCAGACTCACAGCCCAGGTAGCTTCTGATCTGGTTACCGTGGGTTGTGTTTATCTGCAAGGGTGAGCACAAATCTCTGCCTACCAGACTCCCAACTAAGGTAAGCAGTGACAATGCCCAGCTGGTAACGCATTGTGGGAGTTGTACAACATATGGGGAGCTACTTTTTAAAACTAATGTATTTTATTTTTTTCTTCATCCTTGTGATAGGAATGCAAAATAACTCTTGCACCAGGGCCCCTATCTGCTTAAGTTCCACCACTGCTGACACACCTACAGATAAACTGAAACAGCGAGCTGGGATGAAGTGACCTGAACTCTGTTCCTCCCAGCAGGTCTCCGGGGGAACGAATGCTATGACAAGGTCCTAGTCCAGTGCAGTATTAAAGGGCTTAGGGCCCCTTATCTAAGAGCCCTTCCGAGTCCCCCACAGATCCAATGGGCATCCATGGCCGCACAAACACCATATGGCACACAAGGTGCTGCAAGCCAAATTCATTGGCCGCATGTTTGACAGACCTGTTTTACTGCTGCACGTGGCATGGAGACCATTCTGGAAGTATTATTGAATTTGTGAGCGATAGATTTCAAAAAGGTAAAATGACCACATGTACTTGACTTCCTTTTTTGCTTATATTTCCTTGGCATGTTTTGTATTGTGTTTTTATACAGGTTACCAAGCAACAAGACAATAAAATAGTGATGTCCACAAAACTTCCAGTTTGTTTCTTGGAGTAAATGGTTGCTAAGTTTTATGATGAACACACTTACTCGAAGCAGTTCTTCAAAATTCTTCGGTTAACATCCAACAATCCCTCTGATTTTATATATATATATATATATATATCTCTCTCTAGCTTCAGGTATGCAAATAATATTCTTCTTTTTGTTTTTACATTCTGGCTATAGGTTTTTTTTGTTTTGTTTTTCAGAATAATAAAGTTACAGAATGTAGTCCAATATAAGCACACAATGAGATTTGTACGTTACAGCATTTAAAGAAAGCAAAAAGAAAAGCCCTATTTATAAAAAAACAAACAAAAAAACTGTAAAAAAATAGTACACAATTTTTAAGCCACTGATGTGAAACGATAAACGTGATGTAATGCAGTCTTTGGATGTTTCCTATGTCTGTTAATTTGTACCCATAATTGTTGTGGATGGAAATATTTAGCTCTGTCTGTCTAAAGCAGCACATTCCCTCTTGGATTTCTTGTTTAAGAGAAATAGTCACTTAACCTTGTTGTTACCCTTTGACGTGAGACATACTTGCTATGCTCCCGACAATCGCAAATAATTCATGTACCAAGGACATTTCAACATGTTAGTCAAGCTTGGCCAAATTAATTTATTTTTTTAAATCTACATAGCCAACTCTGCTATTTTAGCCCATTTTCTGCAGTCGTCTAGTAATGTCTCAATATTAACCGGTTTTGTGAATACCCGTGAAAGAGTGGGGTTTCACCCAACGATTTGAGTTTTTCCTCTTAGCTTCTGGAACATACCTTAACAACTGCTACGTTTTCATTTACGTCTGTATCAAACTGAGTGCTTATATAGGGCTTGTGATAGAATATTACAGTGCTTGAGATCATACCTTTTTTTAAAGTTACAAAGTAACTGATATATTTAACCTCCCTGGCGGTAATCCCGAGTGTGGCTTGGGGTTAATTTTCAGTACCAAAAGCGGTAACCCTGAGCCATGCTCAGGACTACTGTAGTATGACTTACCATGTCCCTACGAGCCCCTGGTGTTAAATAAATAAATAAATGCACACAATATATTGTAAAAACAATGTACCCCTTAACATTCAAATATACTGATATAATCAGACCGCCAGCGAGGTTAAAGGAGAACTATGACGTTGACAATATTGTTTTACAGCACACTCAAAGCATGGAGGCAATATAAGAATACCTAAAATGTAATCCCAGATCATTCCCCTTTTTTCCTGTAACCCTTTATTTTCACCAGGATTAGACTCATTTCTTGGGGAATATAAAAATGTCTCCTTTTTGTCTCTCTGGTAGCTGTCAAATACCATCACACACAACACTTATAAGACCACGCTCTGCTGACAGACGTAAAAATGTTCCATCTTGCAGGCAGTGGGCCTGCAAAGCTTAAGATAGCCTTTCCCTCCCACCCTGTGGGCCTGTGTGTCACACTGAGCCGGAGAAACGGTCCAATCACATCAGTATGGGCCATGGGAGAGCAGCTACGGTTGCTGTGCTGGGTTAAAGTAAATGTAAAATATATTACAGAGGGGACTTAATTGTAATGCCCTATATGGCTTTGTAAATAATAATAAAAAATTTGCATAAGGGATGGAGTATCTTTTCAGTACATGTATATAGACAGGTATCTCTTCCAGGTTGCTATATAAGGAATGGAAGGTTGGAGGCTGACGGTATCTCGTGTATCAAGGCATAGAATTCCAGGCACAGATTGCATTCCAAGGGATATGTGACCTGAGGAATACATTCTCATATTATGCTGGGTATTGTAACTCCATGGATTATTTTCTCTTCTGCTCTATTCACCACTGAATCTGCAGTATGAGAACCTAAAATAAAACAAAGCTAAGTATTTTACCTGAATCAGCAATAGTTAATGGCCAACACCTAGTCAACGACGTGCAAGCAGGTTCACAAATCTGATACTCCACTAAACTGATTGCTTAGAGAAATCCTATAATGGTCAGAAGGAAGAGATCTAGTAGGACAGGTTTAACAACTCTGGTCTCCAGAGCATATGCATGTTACTTTTTTCAAATGGGAAGGAAAATTGTGTATCTGACACACTATTGTGAAACCAAGATTTCTGCAAAACCAGAGTTGCAAGCCTCCAAATTGTTTTACACTGAAATTCCTATCCATTATGTGCCTTTAGCGATGCAACAAATTGTTTCCACTCTGGATCATGTACAAAAGCTGCTTTTGAAGCCAAGTGATACGTTGTCTTTATTTCAATGTTTCATTAAAACATTAAATTACACTTATCATTTATTAAATTGCTTCAGAAGCCAGCAAGGTTAACATTTTAGTAAATATAATTTTGCCAAGTCAACACTTTGACTCATGTCATGTTCTTCAAACCACTCGAACAATTTTGCAGTGTGGTAGAGTACTTCATACTGCCATCAGGGAACACAATTGCCATGAAGAGCTGCAACAATCTCTAGGTAGGTGGTCCATGTAAATGTAACATCCACATGAATGCCAGGACCCAAGGTTTTTCAGCATAACACTGCCTCTGCTGGCCTGCCTTCTTCCCATAGTGCATCCTGTTGCCATAACATCCCCAAGTAAATGACACACATGCACCAAGCCATCCTCCTCATCTAAAAGAAAACATGATTCATCAGACCAGGCAACCTTCTATTGCTCCATAGTCCAGCTCTGAGGCTCACAACCCCATTAAAGGCTCTTTCCGTGACGAACAGGGGTCATCTTGGGCACTCTGCTGCAGTAAACTGCGATGCACTGTGTGTTGAGACACCTTGCTATCGTGGTCCGCATTAAGTTTTTAAGCAATTTGAGCTACAGTAGCTTTTTTGTGTGATCGACCAGATGCTCTCTACATGCATCAGTGATCCGTGGGTGCCTGTGACCCTGGTTCACCAGTTCTCTACCACTTTGGTAAGTAGCAACCATTGCGTACTGTGAACACTCCACAACACTTGCCGTTTTTGAGATGCCCTGATCCAAACGTCGAGATATCACTATTTGGCCTTGTCAAAGCTACTCAGATCTTTTCACTTTCCCATTTTTTTTTTTTCTGCTACCAACAAATGGAATTCAAGAACTGACTGTTCATTTGCTGAATGATATATCCCACCCCTTGACAGGTGCAACTATAACAATATAATCAACGTTATCCACTTCACCTGTCAGCGGTTTTAACCCCTTAAGGACACAGCTTCAGAAGCTTGACTTACGCTTAATGACACAAGCAATTTTTGCATTTTCTTGCTGTTTGCGTTCAACTGCAATTTGCATCTCTCTCATTTATTGCACCGACACATATTATATACTGTTTTTTTAAAGGACAGAAAGGGCTTTAATTTGATATAACATATATATATATATATATATGCTTACTTATTATAAAAAAAATACAGAAAAATGCAAAAAAAATGAAAAATATTGTTTTTTTTTACAGTTTTTGCAATAATAATGTGTGCATAATTAGTGCAGGTTAAGGAAAGTAATTAAAAATAAATTTATTTATTTGTTCTGATTTACAGAATATATAATGTGTCTGGGATTTTCAGTTTTTTTTGGTAGTTACAGGTCACAAAGCACAAGGAGTAAAATAAACTTTTAATGTGGAGCGATTTTAGAATTTGGTATGTTTGTCTTGTAAGCCTAATAGCCATAAAAGAAAACAAAATTGCCACACAAAAGTATATATTTATATAAAGTAGATATCACAGGCTATTTACCTAAGGTGGTTTTGACACTTTCTACATAGCCATTTCACCGCCAACCTCTGCTAAATATTGGAGTAAAATTTAGTTTTTTGGGGTTTTTGGCACACAAACTTATAACAAAGAACTTCTCATGTTTATTTTGTAAAGTTGGTGTGTGCTATTCCTGTACAAAGTTTTATCTTGTGTTCAGTTACATCTGCTGATTAAAATGACACCCCCATTGTATGTCTTTGGCACTATTTCATGAAGTTACAGTGCCATTTAGGTGACCTGTCCTTTTCAGTATTCACAGTAGATTTTTGAGAGACGGATTTAATGAGCCTATGCATCCATTTGGGGTATTATAACAGTTTGACTGTTCAAAAAAACCCACAAAGGCCTACCATTTGTAAAAGTAGACACTCCAGGGTATCTCATAAGGTGCATATTGTGCCTTAACATGCTCCCATTTTTTCACCAATATATGCCAAATTATGTGGTAAAAAATAATTTTGTGCGTTTTTTACATATGGATTGCATTTTTGCTAGGCATTTTGTATATTTCACATGTGCCACTAAGTTTAAACCCCCCCAAATTACGCTCAGCTAAGTCTTCTGAGTAAAATGACACCCCCATTGTATGTCTTTGGCACTATTTCGTGAAGTTACAGTGCCATATATGAGACCTATCCATTTCAGTATTTACAGTACAATTTTGAGAGATGGATTTAATTGGCCTATGCTTCAATTTGGGACATTATTGCAGTTGGAAAGTTCAAAAAAACCCACAAAGGCCTACCATTTCCTAAAGTAGACACCCCAGGGTATTTCAAAAGGCATATTTTAAACCTTAGCGTTGGATCATTTTTTTGTTAGTTTGTACCAAGTCTAGTTACAATGAGCATTTTTTCTGCCTTTTTGACACACACTTGGAGTTGTTACTGTATATTTTGTAATCCTTATGTGTGCTATGGCAGTAGAACACCTAATATGTTGCTCAGCTATGTCCTCTTAATGCTGCAATACCCCCATGTGTACCCTTTTCAGGGATATGTGGATGTTGAAGGGGCACATTGGAGACCAAGCCATATCAGTTTTTACCGAACTTTGAATTTTGACGCTCGGCCCATGTGCAATTTCCAAGCATCTTAGCAGGTTTTAAGTTCAAATTACCCCACAAAGGCCTACCATTTTTTAAAGTAGACACCCCAGGGCATTTCAAAAGGCATATTTTAAACCTTAGCGTTGGATCATTTTTTTGTTAGTTTGTACCAAGTCTAGTTACAATGAGCATT